GATGGGTGCTGGCTGAGCACGGCAGGGATGGACCTGCCCAGCTCACAAACCACGGGCAATGCTGGCCTCTTGTGGCAGCTCTGCCTTCCTTCTCTCACAAGAATTTAAAAACCTAACCACCTCCCAGAATCTGCCCGAAGTCAAAGATTCCCGAGGACAAAACCAGGGTGGTTTTGAAGGAGGCTCTGAGAGCAAGGCCAGGCTGGTGTGATGGAAGGTGTCCCTGGAACTGCATTAGCTTTGAGGTCCCTCCCCACACAAACCAGCCTGTGGTTCTGTGGTTCTAAACCTGAAAAGCCCCACTGGGGGGAATAAGGTGGTGAAGGCGAGGCTCAGCTCTCACCTGACCAGGCAGAACGTGTGTGGCCACATCCCCACGTACAGGCAGCTCCAGGGAGGGAGGAAAATGCCATTTGCACCAGGGGAGAAAAGGACAAGAAGCTGCAGACTCTGCTTGCCAGCACATAACCCTTACACAAGTGTCCTGCTCCCTAAAAAAAATGTATTTCTCCATAACATTCCCACATAGCTTACCTTTTGGATGATCTCTGCCCCATCCTCCACTGATTGCCAGAAAAGAACTGCTAAAAACAATTAATATATGTAGATTGTTTATTGATTCCAACATATTAATAGATTGGATAATAAACAGTACTTTTAAACATTCTCTTAACCAAAAATATAACAAATATTTACAATCACTCAGTAAAAATACAAAAAGCATACAGAGGCACTGTCTTTCTAAAAGACATAAGTGTAAGAGGTATCAAAAAATAGGAGACAAACATTGCTTGTTACAGAATACTTTACAATCACTGACTTGTGCAGTACAATTGCTATTGGAATATCATTACATCTGTGCAGTTTTGCCAATATGCTCACATATTTAGAATTTAATTAATACCAAGCTAAACTGCATTCCAGGTATATCAAAAATAAAGGTAAAACAAAAGCACAACAAAAGCAAAAAGCTGGGTTGGGAATTCAAGGTAAGATTACCCTCTATACAAGCGTTCTAAAATATAATGTGTAAAGCTTTTCTAAAGAGAGAGTATCCCTTTTTTCTTGTCTTTTTGCAAAGGCAGTGGTAAGTTCATCCTTTAAAAATTCGACTGTTTTATAAAAACTTGAATGACAGGGTTGTATTTCCACTGTTGTCTGCGATAAAATTACCTGGGAGGTGATGAAAGAGGTTTTGCAACACCCCTGATGCCCCACAGGCTCCTCTGGAAGTGGCACCGCTGGCAGGTCCAGCCCTGGGGACACCCTGTGCCCCTGGCAGTGCCAGCAGCCCCAGCACACCCCATCCCAGCTCTGAGCAGCTCCCACTGAGCCATCACTCACCCTGGACCACAGAACCTGCTGAGCTGGAAGGCACCCATCAGGATCGAGCCCAATCCTGGCCCTGCCCAGGACACCCCAAAAGTCACACCCTGTGCCTGAGAGTGTTGTTCAAACGCTCCTGGAGCTCTGCCAGGCTTGTGCTGTGCCCACTGCCCTGGGGAGCCTGTTCTGTGCCCAAGCACCCTGCAGGTGACAGACCTTTTCCTGATCTCTAACCTACCCCTGCCCTGACTCAGCTCCAGCCGTTCCCTCGAGCCCTGTCACTGCTCTTGGGAGCCAAGAGATCTGTACCTGCCCCCCAGGAGGATGCTGAAGACCCCAAAGAGGTCTCCCCTCGGTCTCCTCCAGCTGAAGAAATCAAGTGCCCTCAGCTGCTCCTCACAGAGCCCCTCCAGACCCTTCACCATCCTCACGGCCTCCTTTGGGTGCTCTCTCACAGCTTAATGTCTTTTTTATATTGTAGTGCCCAAAACTGCACACAGGACTCAAGGTGAGGCTGCTGCTACAAACTCCTCAGCTGAGCAAAGGCAAAAGGAAGGAGCCACTGTTGGCAAGCACTCAAAATCTGTCCACACTGTAAAAATGTGAACTGCAAACATCCACAGTCATTGCCTTTTCATTCTTTTGTGTATCTGGGAGATGAACCTGGTGCTCAGAGGCTCAGTGTTCTCATTTTACCCATTTTTTTGCAACTGGAGAGGCCAAATCAGTTCTACCGAACCACACTGCTTTCTCAGGAGTCAGCTGGAAGTTTTTTATAACGAAACAGAGTGTGCTTAAATCACAGGAATCTGAAACACATCTTTCACCCACAGGTCAAGAGCAAACAACGAGCAGGGAGGGAGCAAACCCAGGGATGGCAGTGGAAGAACACGATGTGAGGCACCTGAACTGTTCACCACCCCCAGAGTTAGAGGAACCTGGCAGAGGGACCACGGCAGGGTCTGTGACCCAAAGACATCACTGGGGTAAGGCAGTGCACAGCAGGCACTAACCACCACTTTAATTCTGTCTGAATCACCAAAAAAAGGGATAGTGTCTCTTCAAACCCACAGCAGACACACTACATTTGGTACATCTGGCTCTCGGCCCCGATCAATGTGATCGGTCGAGGTAAAAACAAACAAACAAACAGAAAGCCCAGCAAGGAGCAGCAGAGAAGCCACACTGTGCGAGGCAGGAGGAGCAGGAGTAGCTCATCTGTCCATCATTTATGCATGATTTATGTACACCAGCTGTACTGGCTATTAGGAAAATATGATTAGCAAGACTTTCAACTCATTTCAGAACTTTTCAGTGTGCTGCCAAGCCCTGTGGAACAGACTGAGGCTGTTGATGTGCAAACCCCATGTCTGGATGGGTGATTTATTCAGCTGCTCTTGCTGACTGCCAGAGGAGACCCCGACCCCACTCCCCTAAGGGGCTTCCCTGTGTCCTCAAAGGCAGCACTACTGGGTTCTGGGGGAAAAGGAAGCCACTCTAGCAGCCCCCATCCCTTACACTTTTGTTCAACAGGCTGAAATCAGCTCAGCTCACCCCCCTGGAGGCCGTGGAACCGTGTGGTTTGATTTACCTGGCACAACGCAGACCATTTCCTGATGGAACACGCAGCCTGTTGTTTCCATGTGCTGACAGTGGGATGGCTCAGGCCTGGATTTACATCCCACAGAAACAGCAGCTTAACAGCTCTATTATCAATATTCCATGTGCTGGAAACACTTGCTCTGCCCTGCGTTGCTTTGACACTTTAGTCATTAAGGCCTGGGCAGGTTCATTATATTCATTAAGGCCCCGAAAAAGCAAAATGCATTCATTATGCTATACCTCAAGTGGACTTTAATATATTTTTTCCAACCATTTGCTTCTCGGATACTTGTGCCAAAAAGTCATACAGCCAACCACCAATCAGCTCTAAATTAGGCATGCCCTCCTCAGCATCACTGTTCATTTACACCTCCCCAGTTCCAATCCATACAGGGACATTCCAGGTGATGTTGGACCCGGCACTGCTCCCAGTGCAGACACAGGCTGGGTCACACCCACCCACCTGGCTGCACCAGCCCCAAGCTGCTATGGGGAAAGCACACCAAAGGCTTTGGGTTGTTTTTGGTACTTGTGGCATTTTCCAAAAGTGTTGCATTCACCTCGCACTCCTGCACACATACAGGTAAAAAAAAAAACCCTTAAAGCTCTTCACGACTATGGATATAGAAATCAGTTTTGAGGCACTGTAAAAATGACAAACATCATCTTTCTAGCTTAGGCTGTAAACATCACAACAAAGATTTACAATAAATGTTTAAATACATATTCACACATTCATGTCTGATTTTAACACTAGAATGGGGTGTCATGTGCAGAAAGAAAGAGAGAGAAAGGAAGAGAAAGGAAGAGAAAAGAAGAAAAAGGAAAGAAAAAGGAAAGAAAAAAGAAAAAAGAAAGAAAAAAGAAAGAAAAAGAAAGAAAAAGAAAGAAAAAGAAAGAAAAAGAAAGAAAAAGAAAGAAAAAGAAAGAAAAAGAAAGAAAAAGAAAGAAAAAGAAAAAGAAAGAAAAAGAAAGAAAAAGAAAGAAAAAGAAAGAAAAAGAAAGAAAAAGAAAGAAAAAGAAAGAAAAAGAAAGAAAAAGAAAGAAAAAGAAAGAAAAAGAAAGAAAAAGAAAGAAAAAGGAAAGAAAAAGGAAAGAAAAAGGAAAGAAAAAGGAAAGAAAAAGGAAAGAAAAAAGAAAGAAAAAAGAAAGAAAAAAGAAAGAAAAAAGAAAGAAAAAAGAAAGAAAAAAGAAAGAAAAAAGAAACAAAAAAAGAAACAAAAAAAGAAACAAAAAAAAGGAAAGAAAAAAGAAAGAAAAAAAAGAAAGGAAAAAAAGAGAAAGAAAAAAAAAGAAAAAGAAGGAAAAGAACCTGCAGGTATTTCCAGTTCTACCCCTCTGAGCTCTGGCTGGCTAAAAGCAAAATCAAAGAAGCAATTTTTTTGACCATAGTCAAACTAGAGGATCATGGGTTAATACTGGCTGGCTGTAAGTCAAACTCTCATTGACATCAACACCACCAGGATTTTTAACTAGGATTTAAAATAAAATGGTTTGAGATCATCTGTGTTTAAAAAACCACAGGGTTTTTTAACCCATCATAAAATGCATTATGCTCTTATATAAGCATTATGCCATTTAATATTCAGTTTCACAAATTTTACTGTGAAATGTAGGTGATTTATAATTTTTTTTTCCCCAAAGATAACCTTTGTACCTAAATCCTGTGCAACTCTGGGAAAAGGCCAGGACGTGTGGGATGATCTTAAAGAACCCACAACACACGGCTGAGTTTTGGTTTTTAGAACACGTTTTGCATGTTGAACTCTGCAGGGCAAAACCTGGTTAAAGCTCTTTTGGGAAAGCTTCAGACCCCCCCAAAATGCTCCCCAAGAGCTTCCACGTTGCAAAGGTTCCTTCACAGGGGAGGAGAGCACCAACTGTTGCCTTAGTTGGCTGGCAGCTACAATAATTCCAGAAATCCTTGGAGGGCAGGAGGTTTCTGCTGGGTCCAGGTGGGAGGGGAGCAGGGCCTGACACCCTCTGCTCTGCAGGGCTTTGGGCTCTATTTATATTAAATCTAAACCCACTCCGAAATCCATGGATTTCTGCACCTGGTAATGGCCCACTTGTAGTTTTCTGTGTTTATTTTGAGAGCACAGCAGTGGATGTGTAGCTAATTTACTGTCACATTGACTAAACATTTATATTAGCCAACCAGAGCACTCCCAACACAAATAAAAGGAAATTCCCATTTAAAAAAAAATTTAAATTAATAAATTATTTTCAGATACTTCAGCAATGTCCTTTGCTTTTGCTGACATTTTGATATAATTTTTTTTTTCCGAAGTTCATAAAATAACACTCTCAGATTTCTAATGGTCATGTAGAAAATAAGGACAATGGAAAACTACCAAAGGATTACATGGTATCATACAGAAGAATGCTTTTGAGTTTCAAGTGGTGGTGACAACTGGTCCTCCCCATGCACCAAGCTCGGTCCATCTCTGGGTACCAGTGCTGGTATCCGGGCAGTCAGCACACTCCTGGAATGTGACTTTCTATTTCCCAGGCAGAAAGAGCTTGCTTAGGGGGTGGCAGAGTGAAGGAGGGTGTAGAGAGGAGAATCCAACCCGTTCCATCTCGTCCAGGGCAGGGGCAAAGGTCTGAGGTCAGTAGCAGCAAGTCGTTAGCGGTCGCTAACAGAACCACGAGGTCCTTGTCCCCACATCCCTCGGGCTGAGAGTGGTTCACACAAACAGCCCAGCGCTTAAACTGCTGATACTTGTTCATCTTCTGCAAAACAAGAGAAGAGACAGGGTCAGTTATTGCAGCAGTGCCCACAGAGCAGCCCCCAGTGACGTGACCACAGTGGGTCTGGGACGACTCCACCCCTTCAGCAGCGTGTTCTCACTGTCTTTATCACTGATCACTGCATGTTCCACAGCACCATTCATCAAATCCTCAATCACAGAATGGCTTGGGTTGGAAGGGACCTTATAGAATCCTATTCCAACCCCCTGCCATGGGCAGGGACACCTTCCTCTAGCCCAGGTTGCTCCAAGCCCTGTCCAACCTGGCCTTGGACACTCGCAGGGATGGGGCAGCCACAGCTTCTGCAGTCTGAGGTATGATCACCACACGATAAAGACATACTGCAAAACACAAAATCCCAGATCCTCCAAGAATTACCAGCATGCAGCTCCTAACAGGCCAAAAGCTACAGATTTGGGAGAAAAGCCAGCAAATTCCCATGCAGTGAGCATTTTATCCCAAATAAAATTAACCAAGCACTTTAAAAATAGTAAAGTAGGTGTCTCTAAAAGTGTATGGTTAAATTTAGCTTAGAAAAATTTGGATTAAAATGTTTGAAGCAATTGCTTCCTTATTTTTACATCAAAAACACAACTGAACTAATGCTGGGCAATTTTATGTTTACTGTAAGTTCGAACTGTGGTACTAATATATATGTTAAATACTGTTCAGATATTTTAAAGGGCCAAGATACGATCACTTTGCATCAGAAATTGTTTTAATCTAAATCCAGGCTCATTTTAAACCAGACTGAAATGGAAGGAAATGATCAAACATTCTAATAAAAAATGAGTTCACTATCAAAGGGTACAGAGAGATCACATTGGTGCACAGGTATTAAAAGTAAATCAGCATATAAACAATTAAGTAGAAATTCCCCTGCCCTGAAGTTAGTTTTGACACAATTTAAGAGCAGTCTTTATCAGAAAACCCTCTCACATTTTGGTTACCCCATAGATGCTGTGCTTGGCAGCACTGGCTGTTGCTTCAAACAAGATCATAAAAAAACTGAACTGGAAGAGACACTGTCAGGTCAAGTTGGGCAGAGAACCCTGGTTTCATCAAATGCACTTTTCAAAAGAACAGAAGTTCACTATTATTTTGTTCAATATTTTTAAACTTGATCTCCAAAAATATCTGTTGAGGCATAAGGCAGCTCAATGCCAGCACACATGAATGAAAGGAGTTCACCAAATCCAAAGCACTCAGGACATCATCCTGATGCCAGCCTAAACCACTGGGACATCACTTAATCAATCCAGAGAGGCTGGAGTTTTTCCACATGTAATTTGTAGCCCGTCAGTGTCCCTTCACTGTTTGAGAGGGGACAGATTTTAAAGACAAAAAAAACCCAAAAAACCGACATGTCCATGCTCTGAAGTGTCTCAGTTGTACTCTGGAAGATCTTATATGTATATTTATATATATATATGTATATATATATATTTATATATAATTTAGAATCTGTTCAGTGCCAACATGCTTTTCTGAAGGGAAGGCATTCTTTCTCATTTAAACCTGTATATACATGCACCCAGCCGTGCATGATATACACAGCTGTGCATGTGCACGCAGCCATGCAAACACTCCTGTATATTCCGAGATTAATCGAGTTTTAATCTCCAAGAATGACCCAAGAGAAAGCCCAGAAGGTGGTTGTGAGCCCAGATTCCCCAGCAGTTGAGGTGTTGCACATACCATCCTCTTCACTATCTGCGTCAGGCATATCTGCTAGTTTGGGGCTGGACGGCTGCCGGCCGTGCCACTGGGGCGTCCTCGAGGAGAGACAGTCACCACCCAGAGGAGCTGCTGGAAGTCTAGAGAGGTCACTGTGCAGCATCTTTGACCTCTGCACTGCCACACTATAGTCTGGAGGTTTGAGGTGTGGGTGGTGGGGCGATCCTTCCTTTATGTCCGCTAAAGAAATCCCCATATATCCCGGAGGGGTGGGCGGTGGCTCCCTATACCTATCGTCCTTCTTAGGTGAGGTGACACAGTACACTGGCACAAGAAATAAGCAATGGAAATGTTAAAGAAGAAAACAAAGGAAACAAAACGTTAAAAAATCATGAAATGTTACAATGGCAAAACAGAAACTGATAACAAAACGCAAATGCGGAAACACCGGTTATAACGACAGCAGCAGGTATTTGTGCTTTCATTTCTGCTTATATTAATAAGTCAGAGTAGCAAAAGAACCCAAGAACTCCTTAGGTGAGATGCCAATTGAGTGGAAACAGGACTATGGGCTTCTCTGCATTCAGACTGCAATTAACAGCTGTCATTAGAGTCCCCACTACTGCAGCCCCACTGCACCCCAGGATAAGTCCCCACTCCTGCAGCCCCACTGCACCCCGGGGTGCTGCAGAGCTCTCTGGGGATGGAGAGCCAGCACAGCCACGTCTGCTGCCACTGCTACAGGCTGGGGAACTGAAACACAAGCAATTAAGGCAACTGGCCCCAGGTCACTTTGCACAGCAAGAACTGCTGGTTGACTTCCAACATCCACTCCATCACCCAAAACAGAGGTCAGTGGCTTAACAGAAACTCATTAGAATAAAATATCACTGTATCAACTGATGTGTATAAAGACACGAAACCATACAGCTATGCTATGGGAATAAAAAAAGCCAGTAGCACATAAAACTGCTCCTGTGAGGCAAAAGGTATATTGAGCCTGCATTCATTATTTTATCTTTTCCAACAGTTAATAATGGCTTATCCCATCCACACTTTTAATGTCTTTTTTTTTTTTGGCTTTGTTTTCTTCTGTACCCTTATCTTAAAACTATATTGTCTGCTTACGAGTGACAAACAACCTGGAACAGTCATGGAAACAGCCTTTGGAAAGGCTGCATTACACCTTGTGCAGTCATGAAAAGGCTCCAGTCAATAATACCTATTTGCAATGTCCATGCCACATAATTCATCTTCTCCCTTCCTGCCCTGTTCAGGTCCCAAAGGCTCTCAAACCAAAATTTAAATTTTCTCAAGTTGCCTCCCCTCCCTCCCAGCCCAGGTTTGGGGCTCATGTGCATGTTAAATTGGGCTCTTTCCACGGACATGTTGCAACAGGAGAGTTTCCAAGCCAGGATAATTTTTTAAGTCTGTTAGTTGAGTGAATTTGCATTCTTCCTGTGGATCCATTTTAAACAGTGCACATTCATTATTTTAATTTATTTCAGCAACTGTAATAGTTTCTTATCTTAGAAGAATGGGAAGGGACAAAAAATAAAGGAGTATTTCCTATTGTGTTGTAGACTTGTGAGATTCCAGGTTTTGATATCAGCTGGTTCATGGCTGAAGGTCTCAGTTCATACTTGGGCTGATAGTAAAATAACCCAAACCAAGTTCAGTCAGTCTGGGGTTTAGCAGATACACATGGGTACAGGAAGAGATTTATACTGCTGAATTACAGGATTTATTTTCATTGAACTAGCACTGAAGGGGGTCTCTATGAGAAAGCAGGGGAAGGGGAGGGATGGGGAAGGGCTGGGCACTGAGCAGACCCTCAACCTTCAGTCTTGGCTGGATTTGCAGGAGGGCTGATGAGGGTGGGTATGTTCTTCAAAGGAGAAAGCTTCAGGCTCTCTAGAGTTGACCTTTAGTCTACTGCAGTAACGAAAGAATAACGTGTCCCTCTGTCAAATTCCAGTTCATAACATTTCACAAACGGTGAAATAAAGTGAAAATATCTTTGGCATATTGTGTGATGGTGAACAGCTCACAGATCTGCATCTGCAAACAGGGAATTGTCTCCACCTGTATCAGATCTTTCCTCACACACGTGCCAAGGGCTCCTCACCAGCACAGGGGGAGCGGACACGGAATGAAAAAGGCAGCAAAGAGCTGTGAGCAAAGACAGTGTGTCCTGCACACTGGACATGCCATCTCCTGAAACGGGCCAGGAGCAGCTCTGGCAGGCTGTGAGGGCAGAGCCCAGGCACAGCACTGAGCTGGGAGCACGTTTCCTGCAAGGCTCCACCACGAGTTCTTCTCCAAAGCCAAGGAGGAGGAACACAATCCAAGACCTCCGCCCTACCTGCCATGTTTGTTGAGGCAATTACCTCTGATAACACAAACCCCTCCAGCAATCCAGTCAGTAATTAAACTGCATGTCAGCTGCACCCTTTACTCACAGTCTTAGAAAGCTTTGCATTCCATGTTTTATCTTGTTGCTAACACAGTTCCTTTAGTTTTGGCTGCTGAGCTCACTAGGCCAGGGGTAGAACATCTTGCTTGATAGAACTATGCATATCTGAAAGTTTTAAGATTTTCTCCTTTCATACTTAGCCAAACTGCAGCTGTATAATCAAATAAATGGCAGCTTAAAATAGCAAAGGCAGGAAAGGAATCTGCTTTGCCCTTGAGCTTCAAGAGACCAAAGCCCTGTGGATGAAAGCTGCCCCAGAGGGGCAGGTGAGCTCCACAGCACTCAGCAGCCATGCTCTTCCCTCTGGGTTCCTGGGAAGCCTGTATCATAGGGAGCATGGGATCACTGCTCCTTGTCAGGGGAACATCTACAGTGATGAGTACACTTCCAAAAGAAAGCAAAAAGCCACACTACAGAGAGGAACTGCTTGACATTTTCCTGAAGACAGCTCTCCCTCAGCCCCACGGAGTGATGGGGAAGTGAGCTCGTTTATTGTCTCTAAATTTGTAATGGTGGCTTGAAAACACAGTGTGTGTAGTGTTCTGACTGCAACCACAGGAGAAGCTGAATTTAACATGCCAGGCAGCCCCAGACCTGCTGATGTCATTTCTTAACAACTTAATATCAAAATGAAAAACAGATGTAGCAGCTTCCATAAGCTGTTGGCTTGGCTTACCTATCAGGCCTTTTTCTGTACTGGAAGTAACAGTTTTGTAAGTTGTATCAGCGCCTGGTTTAGAGTCCAAAACCTCCGTCTGCTCGGCCGTGGAGTTCTCCAGCCCCCTGCGCTTAATTGTCCCATAGTTTGTCTCGTAGGTGTCTGACAGGGAGCTGGAGGAGGCCCAGCTCTGCCGGGACTGATCGAGCTCCACGCTGGCTTTCGACTGCCTGTTGGCTTTGGAAAAGGCTTCGGAATACAAATAACCCTCCTCAGAGTAACAGTTTGTGGGATCCACTTCAGCTATAGGTCCGTCCAGCTGGGTGTGACGGTAAGAGTTGAGGAGATCCCAGCTCTTCTGGTTGGGGATGTTCTGGAAGTTGTCATGAGAACTACTGGAGCACGAAGTCCAGCTGCCCCGGCCGCTGTCTGCTGCCTCCACCGTGATGTGCTCGTGGGAGATCTCCTCGCTGCTCATGGAGGAGGTGAAAGCCATCCCTCTGATCAGGGCAGGCCTCGTGATCGACCAGCTGCATTTGAAAACAACAGAAACCGGGGAAAAAACCGCTCGTGAGCTTTTAAAATAAAGACTGACGTACTCAGAGACCATCACCTGGTTTGAAAGACAGCTGTGGGTTTGTACCAGGTGAGCAGCAAGGTCAAGGCACATGGGAGCACTGACAGGAGACACTGCTACTCCCAACTCATCACTGCACAGGCAGCAAGGAATAATAAGTTTGCAACATGCATTTCCAGGCTTGACCCCAGATCCAAAAATCCACAGAAGCTTTACCAACAACAGCAAGACAGTGCCTGACAGAAAGCAGAGCAGCAACTGCCTCTTTCTTTCATGCTGCTGCCACCTTTTTCTTTAAATTTATAAACTAAAAATAAATATTTAGAATAAAACCCAACCCCTTCACAGGCAGCAACATCAAGTTGTTTAGACAGAGTGGAGGCAGTTATATTTCAAGAACATTAGGAAATACTGGACATAAATAACATTTGTGGGAACGATCTGGAGTGACAGATTCTGAAAAGCAAAGTCCAAAATTTCTTTTTTCAAGAAATGTCTGCTGAAAGCTCTAATAGCTCTCAGTGCATAATTAAGGGGGTAAAAATAAAGCCAGGTTTGCATGAATTTGGAAAACATGAAGATATGATTGCTAGACATTATTCAAGTCTCTTAACTATTTCTGGGTGTGTTAACAAATGCATGGGCAGCACATTAAAATTCAACGCCCTCCCTCAGCAGTTTACTGACACATTGTGAAATCAAGGAATGTTTCTTAGATATGTGCAAACAAAGTTTCTTTTTCCCTTGCTTTTCAATTTTATAAGTTCTAGGATAAAACCCACTTTCTTCCCTCCAAAACCCACTGAAACTAAGGAACAAAGGAACAACCACAACATGTGAACTCAGTGTGTGTTATGCCTTTCAGAAAAGTGAGGTATTTTTTTTAATGAAGCACATCTTTAAATTCCCATTTTAACCTTTCGAAATAAACGGAATTACTCATTTATTTCCATCCCTGGAAGTGTTCAAGGCCAGGCTGGATAGGGTTTGGAGCAATCTGGGCTAGGTGGAAGATGTCCCTGCCCATTTTAGGGAGTTGGATCAAGATGATCTTTAAGGTCCCTTTCGGCCCCAACCCTTCTGTGATTCTGTGAGCTGGAAAAATTAGAAATATTAAGGAGCATCTCTCATGACATCCATGACATCCGAGGACAGGAAATGCTATCCCAAGATATATTAAGACATATTAAATCCTATGGATCAAGGCTTTATGTCTAGTAAGACAAAACCAAAAACTTCCAGTTCAAAGCATCATTTCAGCACAGATTCTCACTGCACCAAAGGAACAAGAGCTCCTGTGTGGAAACTCTCAGGAAGTCAGGGCGAAAAGCTTCCAGTTTGCCTAAGCAACAAATGGTAATTAGAAAAATCCTTAAAAATCACATTAGAGCATGGTAAGTGACTGGCACTGCTGACTCAGAGAGAATTGATAATTTCCTGTTGTTCTTTTGCTGTCTCTCACCACGACACTAATTTGCTAAGTATCATCCTGGCTTTTAACACATTTGCAGTCTCCAGCAAGAGATGTCCAGCTGAACCCCACCGATGGGAACACGCTGTTGTCTCCTCAAGTGATACTGTAAGCTTCTTAGGAAAACAGGCTCACACAGAGCAGCCAGTTCTCCAGCTTCCAGCAAGAGCTTAACAACCCTGGTGGAGAGCAGAGCTGCATCCTGGTCAAACCTTTGTCACCCCAAGGCCAACCCAAACCAGCGGCACCTCACCCTGGGCAGGGCTGGCCATAATCCACCAGTGGCTGGGGATGCTCCTTCCTCTCTGCCCCGCTGGAGTCCACCACGATGAGGGACTGGGACAAGCCCCTCTCGTCCTGCAGTGCTGCCGACATGGAATCCACGGAGCAGTTGCTCACGATGCTGGAGCGGGACGAGATCTCGCTGTGACTGGAGTCGGAGAAGTTGTCGGATTTAGTGGAAGGGATGAGGGCGTAGCCTAAGGAGGGGAGAGGACACCTTGGTCAAAGAGCAACAAGGTATGACAACAAAGTTTTGACACGTGCATTACAGCAAGGGTATTTAGAAGAGAAACCACCAGACCCTCTTTGCACAGTCAGTCCACTGAGGATTTTAGGTACTGAAGCTTTAAGCATCTGTCAGCACTGATTTATTTACTGATGCAAGTCCAGCGACACCAACAACCCACCTGCAACTCCACCACTCTCCAGAGCAGCAGCTTAAACCCACCTAACCAGGATCAGTAGTGAGGGGGCCAATCTTTCCAACCCTGCCGACTCCTCTGGTATAAACAGAGCACACTTCCCACTGTCCCTCTGCCCTGCTGCCGTGCAAGACTCAGGAAAGATTTTGGCAGTGGAGGAGGAGACGCTGACTAAGGTAAAAGCCAGCAATTAGCACCCAGGGATTAGCCATATGGTCCTTTTCAGTTTTATTATCTGCTCCAAAACTAACAGAGAAGGAGGCAAAGGCAGGAAATACAACTTTGGCAGGAGCTGGACCAGACTCCAGTGCTGTTCCCACTGAATGGGAACAGTCGAAGACCCCACGAGATTCAGAGCAGAATCTATAATGTATTTTTTTCTGCTTGGCTTACCCTTACCCACAAATAACTTATCTCAAACACAAATAATGTATGCAGCCCTATATATCCAACACCTCAGATAAGCTTTTTTTTTTTCCTAAATTCCTGCACATGTGCCTTTGAGCTGGACTGCCACATATTTACATCCATTAGGTGAAAATGTGAAATGACCAGGCAGTGTAAAAGCCATGCCAGTGATACACACAACCAAACACAGAAGACTGATGCCCTTAAGTCCATAAAAAAATCAGAGATAATATAATATGGCATCTGGTGCCACTGGCATACTTGCCCCTGAGCATAGAGCTCATAATTTGAGAGACTTCACAGCTTAACTTTGATCACTGCTGTAGGGTTTTAAGAGCAAATATGAGCATTAAATATCAATATTATCAAACTATAGGACTGAACCTTATGAATGGAAAAATGTCATTAGGAGCAGCATTTTTAAGATTAAATTTCCGTTTCCTTTCCTTTGACAATAACTAATATTTCATATTCTTTACATTTTCAAGAGACTCTTTAAGTTTACACAACTGTACTGCATAAGAAATGCTCTCAGTGTGTCTTAATTTTAAGACACTGTTTTTCAAGAACTTCAAAGATCTGGAGAACTAAAGGGCTTCTCTTCACTAAAGAGATGAACACTATCTGAAAGTTGGGCCAATTAATAACAGCACATATGTATAAACAGACTCAAGGCAAGTGTTTGCTGGGCTGAAAAGGTCAGCAGAGGATGTGACCAATGCAAATATATACCAGTGCTAGAAGTGAACATTTGATTTACATCATATCAGGGACTGTCTAATTAGGAAATCGTTGCAGAACTTACTGTTTCATTGGCATTTGTGACACACTAAGTAACTGAACTGCCACTGTACCTGTTCCTTGATTTTCTAACTTCACATTATTGTCTTCACTGCACTGTAAGGGTGATTAACTATAAAGAACTGACACAAATATCTGGAAGGGAAGAACATTAAACAGCTTAAACATGTAAATGGATAATGCTGAAATAACTTAGATAAACTCAGGATATCTGACAGAACGTGGACATCAGTCTTTCTTTTAAAAACAAATCATAAGGTCTTTCTCCTCCTTCTAGGCTTGGTGCACAGGCAGGGAGATGTGTACAGACTGCTGTTGCTATAGATACTGAGAGCATCACTGTCCTTGTCCTTTTGGTTTTCGCTCCTTTCTGAGGCTTCAGTGTGCTCTGCTTCCCTTTTCGCAGCAAAAGGTTTCCTTTCCCTGGAGAAGCTTCTTTCCCTAAGTCTTCTGAACCGTGATCCCTTTATTTTTGGGGGCTCACACTCAGCTTCTGCCTCTCCACTCTCATCCTCTCTGTCTGCCTTTGTGCTTCTCTCAGAACTGTCTCTGCCTTGGCAAATCATCCGAATTTTCTTTTGTAAATAAGCCCCACCTATTCCGTAGCTGCGCTGGCCACTGGTCTTGTTGCTGGTCTCGCTGGCCAGTGAGGAGGAAGAGCCAGAGAGGTTCATCTGACTGCAGTTATCCGACCTCTGCGTGTTGCCAACTACAAGGAAGCAGACACAGGCAGGTGCTGGTAAGTGACGAGAGAAATAACAACAAAAATAACACTCCAATTTTAAACCCTTTTTTCTTCAATCCTATTTGCATATCACTTGGGTAATAGCTCAAAAAGAAAACGAAATCTAAGATTAAGTGGAATGTGTTCATGCCTAAAATTATGTCTTTCAGCTGTCTGTGAAGCACCTAATTTTAGATCAATGAGCTGTTAGCACAACACACACAACAAGGTACAGATCACCTCCATCAAATTACATCAGTGCTAAAAATATGCCAAAATCAAGTTGAATTAAAGAAATAATCCCAAAGAAACAAAACATTATTTTCAAAGAACCAGATGAAAAGCTAACAAAAATAACAAGTTTATAAGCGATGCTCAGAAGCCTCAGTGGAGCAAGGCTTTGCAACCCAAGTAATTAAGCTTTTTATAGGTATGCTGTGTTTAAGTAAAATAAGTGGCATTCTCCTAAAGGCAACAGGGTCTTGTGAAGGCAGAAGTGGATGGACCAGCCTGATCTCCCCCTGAAAAGGGCGAGGAGATGCAGCAGGTCCCCATGCCATGCCATGCCAACGCAGTGGCTTTGGGCTGTCAGTGAGCCAAAGCAGCACAGAAGGGAGGGAGAGAGGCCTTACACCATCCAACACCGACCACCTGGGCTGACTACTGAGAGCTCTTAAGAGATTTCAAATGAATTCCCATCCAAGGTTGACTAATGATGAAGTGATGCAGGTCTTTTAAGACGAAGACATCAAAAATAAAGGGATTCTCAGGGCATCATGAGAGACAGGGATGTAAACAAAGCCCTGTGCACAAGAACAAAAAACATGAACAGCAACTCGAGGATTTAGGTGGATCCACTACTTCTGCAGCAACCTAAACCACGGGCCCTGGAGAACTATGACACCATTCTATCTCCAGCTCCATCTCATCACCTGATATTCCAGCTACCTTGGGCAAGACCAGGAGTTGTCTCAACAGCTGCAGTTTCTGTGCAACACTGTCATCTTCAAGAAATCCCCAGGTTTGTGAATCCCATCTTTTTAAGTGGCCACCTAAATCTGAACTGACATGATGGCAGGTGTCAGCACTTCTGGGAATTCTGTCAGAAGCACTTAGGCAATATTTTAAGGAAACAATTGTTCCCTTTTTTAAATAATAAGTGACTTTCATGGCCAAAACATATAAATACACTGGAAAATCATGTCTACTCATAGAAAGACACGATTCTATTCTTGACATGAATATTCTAAACTACTGTTGCTCTTACATGCCATTATCAACAAATACTGCTGCCACTGCCCACCCTGGTTTCAGTTCAGCCCAGGCTGGAGCTCCTGGGGTCACACACAGCAGGACCATCCCCACAGCTCACCTACCTTTGCGTGGGGAGCCCTGAGGAGAAGCAGGAGGGCTGGAGTGCAAAGAAGATGCCATGGACATGGTGTCATCTGTTTGTTTCTTACTACTTACTTCCTCAGACAAGCTTAATGACTTCTGTGGGGAGCCTGTACCTGTGAAAACAACGGAACCAGTTACTGATACTGCTCTTCTTTTGAGCTACTGCTGTCTCTTTAAACTACAAATAACACCATGCTGAACGATCAGAGTATTCAGCAAAGAGAGGAGCAGATGCTCAGAGGATTCTGCATGTAGAGGCAGTCTCCATTTAAATTTAAATTTAGATCAGAGCAGCTGTGGCCACTGCTGGCTGCTCATCTGCGGTGTGTTGAAACATCCAGGTCCTAACAGGAACCATTGCAACGGGGACACTGGTTGTGGTTTTGGCAAAGGACTGTGTAACAAAAAAACTGTGTGAAGGATAAAGCTTGGAGGGAATCCTTGCCCAGTGCACTGTTGGGACTGTGTTAAAAGCCACGTGTGTCACAGTCAACAGGTCAGCTCAGGATCTTCACAAGCAGGAGTTCTTAAGTCAACACTTGTGGGCACCACCCACAGCCTGGCAAAACCAGTGTCCCACTGAGGATTTGGTATTTCTTGCTCACTCTCAGACCACCTTGCAGAGAACACAGTGCTGAGGAGTTAATTCGAGTTGTCAATAATTTGTTAGATCAACACGGAACAAAACACGGGAATGAAGAAACACCTCTGAGCAAAGTTCCTGGAACATTTCAAACTGCACAGGCTTTCCAGAGGAGATCTGAAATAAATACTAACTGGAAACAGTATTTTATGTGCTGCAATATACTGTTTTCCAGAGATATTTTAAAGGATATTGATGCCCAATGTACCATAAAATCATTTCATGTCATTTACTGACTGCAGCTAACTATTTAATAACCCAGAACTATGGCTTTTAAATAATACAACAGTTGTGTAAATAGGTTAAAAGCTTTTCAATACATAATATACTGCTTTGCAACTAGCAAAGTTAGAGACAGAAAAAAATAACATTTACTAGGAGCAATTAATAATATATGTTGCTCCGTTTGACCATAATATAATTTGTTGTTATAATGGTGTCCCATAGGTTAAAATATTAAATGCCTGTGATTTATTTCAGTGATTTCACCTAAATATATTAGACTTCATTAAGCAAGAGTGTATTTGGAGACAGCACCTCACTGCTAACTGTTTTAAGGAAAGTTCTTTAACACTGTGCAAATGACTAAGCAGACAGCATGCCCTCTTAAAACACAGTAATATGCACCAGCTATTTTAAAGTGAATTAATGAAATTAAGCACAATGGTATCTCACATAAAGCACCCAGCTACAAACAGCTCCTCTGTCCTATTTACTCCCATCTCAAACTGGATACTCACTGAATGTGACATGTTCCTTCGTCAGCCCCTTTTTCCTGCTGGGGTACAAATTCACAGTTGGCACCTGAAGAACTTGACTCATTCTGTTCTGTTGATGCTGATGGGCTTTTGTGGTTTGGCCAATTGACCTCATGGGCACCGGAGACATTTCGGAGGATTTCCCTCCTCTTCTCTCACTTAAATTCTTTGTCACTGTCAGGGAAAAACTGCAGATAAATATCTTGCACTTTGAAGGGCAGGATTATTACAGCACAACCATTCAGACAAAGGAACCACTGTATAAAGAGGATAAAATGTACCTGAAACCATTTCTATTCCAAGCACACCCATCTCATCACACTGAAGATGCTGTTGTGTGAAACGGCTGTAAAAATACCCCTAAATTCTTTGAAGTGCCATTGAGGTACTTAATCAAAAGACAATAAAATGTTATTTATTCCCACAAGTCTGTATTTTAGATGTTTGTACATAAGGAGCAGCATCTCCTTCAAAATCAGGTTGTTTTGCAGTTGGCATTAACATTTCACTAGGTGGCACAAGTGATTTACAGCACAGGGCACTGCTTCAGCTTCTGCTTTAATCAATTCATAAGCTCTGAAGTTAAGGTCATCCAATTTCTCCTTATATTCCCTTGGAAAACTCTGGATTGCAGCATCACTGCTGTTCATTCCTTCTGCAAGCAAGGCCGGGAGCTTATTAGTGAGAGAAGAGTTGGGACTGAACCCCTGCTTTCCTGGGCATGTGCAAATAACCCTCTTTGCCCAGAAACAAATGGCAAAGCCCTGTGCCAGGCTGCCCGAGTCAAAGTTCCTTGGTCAAAATTTAAACGTGGGTAATCCAACCCAGTGTGGAGGAACATCCCTGGGAGCAGATCAGTGCTCTCTCCACCAGAATTAGAGCCACGAGGGGCTGGCAGCTCCCTCATGCTCCACAGGGCTCCTCCATCCCTTCTCACAGAATTACCTGTGCTTTTGGGGGTTGGGGGATTCTTTCCCAGTTTTCAAAAAGGTACTTCTAATAATACACCACTCTATTACATATTTATTTGTATATCCACTTAACCTTCATTTTCCTTTCTAACATTTAACGAAAAAAAGGCCTTGATTGGCTTAAGTACATGGAGTAGAGCAGTCAGTACATACTCCCTATTTTTCCTTCCAAACATCTATGGCTAGTACTGTGCAAACAAGATTTTAATTGATTCAAAACAACTGAAAAACAACCTGATAATATTTATGTTTGTCTCTTGGGCACAGTATGGCCACCTGTCACAAATGCACATAGATCATCTATCAAGAGTTCAAATACAGAGAATTTAACATTTTTAAAAAGGGAGTTAAATATGGCCATTTCCAGGTTTCCTACTTCAGTGCTATTTCAAAGGAAATGCTAAAAAAATTTTGCATAAGGAGGCACCTTAGGGAATAACAAGGATTTGCATTCTTAATACTGGATAATTGCAAGGACTTAAAATATTGTCTTTGAGATGCCATTTCCTAGTCATGCTTTTAACTTATCTCATCACAGACAAAGTGATATTTGAGGACATAAAAGTCTTAAAGTGATACATTTGGACAAAGGACAAGCATTATTTTGCTTGGCATGGTTGCCACTCTTCTAGTTCGAAGCAAATCTACCTTTCAAGAAAGTGAAAAATTTTAAGTATCAAAATAAAATGCAATTATAATGTCTCATTTCTAAGTAAGAATTTACTGAACTGTGTAAGACAGCAGGTCAGACAACAGCTTGCTTGACAGGAGTTCAAATCATGGGAACTGTCCTGCTGTAGCCCTCAATTTTTGCCTGTCAAACCACATCAAACCCATCAGTCAATATTGACCTAACTTCTGCTTCTCAACAATCTTCATTTATTCTAAGCTGAAATCCATTGCAGTTTCTATATTGATTTTGTCTCTTTTCATTTTCTTGCTGTTCATATGGTAAATGTTACTTCTATCCTTCCTAATTCTGTACAAGGACGGCGGGGCAAGAACTGAGCTGATGTACTATTGAATTTCCTGCCAGACTGATGGAAAGACACACAGCTTAGGAACTAAAGGGCAGAAGAAAAACCATCATGGAGGTTTTTTGAGCTCAACCAAGACCTGAACACAAATGCTGTCTTGCTGAAGCTCTTAGCACACGAACTGACAAACCAGAACTTACTGAAGTATTTTGTCCTCGGAGAAAGAGTTTAAATGAGTATTTCTAGAGAAGGAACTGTACTTACAAGTGCTGTAGGCAGGCTCACACTGGAGTGACAATATCTGGATCTTCTCCTCGTCTGTCTCCACGTTGAGGTTGGACAGGTACTGCTTCACCTTCCTGGCCATCTGCGCGTCCTCGTAGAGCTTCTTGGCGTTGAGCAGCGAGCTGCGGCGGGCACGCTTCTTGTGGGCACCTCCCTGCACATCCAGCATGTTGGAGTTCGTGCTGCCCTGGCTCAGAGACCTGCAAAACAGAAGAGCAAAGCAGTAAAGGTTCAGTTCTCGACAGCAGTGAAGAGCTGCAGTAGCACAGGCCAAAGCAGATTAATACCAATAATCTTCAGTTAGGGCTAGTGCATGCTGATGCAAATGAGTTAAAAAGATGAACAGCAGTAAAACAACACTTGTCTTAAAATATTCTGGTAAACTGAGAGCGGCAATTTGAGTCTAGAACAGGATTGCACATGGAAATGTGGAACTGGGAAGGATGAGGTGCAGTGCTCTGCACAGAACCCGTTCAGCTCCAGTAACAAACCACAGGCTTGTGCTGCAGGACCCAGAGCTGACAGGACAAGAGGAAATGGCCTCAAGTTGTGCAAGAGGAGGATTAAATTGGATATTATGAAATATTTCTTCATGGAAAAGGTTGTCAAGCCCTGGAACAGGTTGCCCAGGGCAGTGGCAGTCACCATCCCTGGAAGTGTTCAAAAACACTTGAGAACATGTTTCAGTGGTGAATGTGGTGGTGGTGCTGGACTGATGGTTGGACTCCATCTTAGAGGTCTTTTCCAACCTTAACGATTCCATAATTTCAACTGCAGACTGTAAGAGTGGAAAAACTTATTAACTTTGTTGGTTTGAGGAATTTGGTGCCCACTGTGTGCATCAGGCTCACACAGAAACCTCTTGCAATTAGCTGAGCACAGAAGAGAGTGACTACTGTGATCCTCTTAGAAAACTGGGCTTCTCACAAGAGTTAAACAAGGGGCAAATTATGTTACAAGTACAAAGTGCATTTGATGCACTTAACTTCTTTCTTCAAGTAACTAAAACCATCCACAGAAGAGCAGCTCACTAAAAACACATTTCCCAAGAAGGGTGAGGAAGGCAGTGATGACATATGTATGCCCAGACTTGCATTATGAAAAACAATGCTCCTCAATACTCCCAATTTTGAGCTCCCACATCTATCAGCAACTGTGGTAAAAATAAATCATCCCCAAAACGTTAAAGAACATGAGTTACTCTCCCTGACAGTCACTCCCACTCACACTGAACGAGTGACCAAACAACTGACCTGGACACAGCTCAAACACACACATCACCTCTGTTTCAACTGCCAAAAGTGCTACAGCCACACCAGTCCTGATGCATTTTTAAACAAGTGGAGATCACAGTATATACGCCACACGTAAAGTAGAATGGAAAGTGTCAATAAAGTTGTTTAAAGTTGGGGTTTTGTGGGGATTTTTAAACATTCAGATGAATATTTTAAAGCTACAGTATTTGTGAAGACAGTTATCAAGATCTTGTGTGTTTACAGAATCACAAGTGGCAGAATAAACAACATCAGGCACAGAACTGCCATAATGGCCAAAGGAGTCAGAATGAAACATGTTGTTAGAGCAAATATAAGGAATCGAGTACACTGAGCTTAAAAAAATAAGTAGTGGAAAATAGCTGACTGCAATATTTTCAAAGATGTTAAATAAATCAATCTGAAAGAAAACATAAGCTTAAAAACTGGCAGCAATTTACAGCTTAATTTAATAAAACAGTAATGTTATTGTAGGCAAGGAGCAGCAAAAGGCATGATGGAGTGTTCACAGCTACTCAAACCAAGGGGACACTCCTGTCCCCTATGGACAAGGACAAAGTTGACACCTCTTCTACAATGATCAGGAAATTATGTTTATTTTTAATGATATAAATATTTCATTGCTTATGTACACAGTTTTTCTTTCAAGTCTGTACTTGACTTTTTAAGGCAATTTAATTCAATTTCCTTTAATAATGATTTTTCCCTAATTCCCTCGTGTTCACAGCAATCCCAAGGGTTGGAAATCACACTGGCTCTGTGGCTCCCGGGTGTTTGTCCCCATGAGCTGCCCTGTGAGCACCCAACACTGCCAGCCAAGGGCATCCACACCAGTACCAGGGACCAGTATCCAAACCTGCTCACCCCAGTTTGACTGGAACTGTCCCTCTCATTGTGCAAAGGCACACAGGTAACAGTTTATGGGCAAAAATACACATAATAACACATAAAATACAGCTACAATGACAGCTGTCTTAAAATCAGCACCCTGGGCCAGTCAGGACTTTCCCCAGCCAACATCACAACTCTCATCTTGAGTCATTTCGTTATCCAGTCCTTGCACAGTCAACACTCCCAGGGAAACCAATGAGGGTTTTGGTGTAGGAAATGTGAGATACATTTTAAATATATGCTAAAAATAACTACTTTGAAGCTTGCTTGAACACAAACTTCAGGGGGGAAATCACTACACCATTATCACAATTCCAAGCGTCCTCACAGTTCAAAATGCAGAATGGCTTCAACTTTCCTGCCACGCGTTAAAAAGCAAGTTATTCATTTCATTTATTTCCCCAAACAGTTTGCCTTCCAATATAACTGCACAGCAGGGGTTTTTTTATGCATAAAGCCAAAACTCAAAACAATTTATCTACTACACAAAAGCAACTCAGAATTCTTGCAGCCGCAGTAAAACGTTGGCTGTAACCCCTTATTCCTGCTTTCAAAAAACCACGTATTGCAGGGTTAATAAAATGCATGCTGTATTTCAGATGCATGCACTAACGAGGAGGATGCAGTATGTTAAGAGTTGCATAATCTTTATTTTATCTTAGTTGCATTCAGCTCTACACTTACCCCAAACTTCTCCACCTCTTCTTCCTGTAAGCAAGAGCCATATACATTGAAGCATGTATTTGAACAGAAAAGCACAGGAAAAAAATAAAACAGTTGAGAGTCAGGAAGAAAGATGTAGACAGGAAAGAACAGAAAAGAAAAAATCTCTATACAGCAAAATTCTTCTCAAACAATAACACAATGTTTTCATGGAATGCAAGGGCAGGACTTGGCAAATACTTTAATATGGAAGCACATCTATCAGTTTTTTGTGTAGGTTTAACCTATGAATTGAAAAACCAAACTTGCATTATTTTTTTATTTTCTGTAAGTCAAATTCAATTTTGATGGAGTGAGTAAAACCTGTTCAACTCACTCATATTGCAAAAAGTGGGATTAAATTTATTTATTGTTTGTATTAGGCCTGCTGGGAGTGTATGAGAAATCATCATCAGTATTCAAGTTTATGATGTTGTTTTCTCTTGATTGTTTGCTGGAAAACAAGCCAGTTGCCAAATGCACCTTGAAAGCCTGGATGCTCTCTATTAATCAGTAAAGAACTTGTGAGCAAGTCTCATGTTACCACTAATACACATCCTTTCTTGTTAATTTTTCATCTTCAAAAGCATTTATTTGGTGCTTCATAACACAAACTGATAGATCAAACACCAGAGGCAATGAAAATGAATATAAATGATGTGAAAACATGGAATTATTTTCTTTTAATCTTTGGCACTATCTCTAATATTAGATGCCTAAGCAGTTTATGGCAGTGTGCATAATTTAAATTATGGTCATTAAAGTCTGTTCTGTAATTCTGAAAAACATACTGAAGGTAACTATTTACTATTAAATTTATTTAATGATTGGACTTCATTAGGTCTTAGAAAGTGCATGGGCCATCAGGGAAATTTATTTATAGACTGATTTCAGCTGTGAATGCCAAAGTTTCTGAATCACAACTTCTCAGCTTTATAATTTTATGCTAAAAATGAAATTCTGCTAAGTCCAATCCAACAGTATGAAGGTGAATCTCCACTGTGAGACAAACCCATCTCTAAATAACTTTAAGAAGGATCTGTTATTGTTGGTTCAAACCTCGACTGGGCCATTTTTAGACTCCCAGAACCACAGACTGGTTTGGGTTGGAAGGGACCTTAAAGCTCATTTTGTTCCAGCCCCTGCCACGGGCAGGGACACCTTCCACTACCCCAGGTTTCTCAGAGCCCCCCCCCCATCCAGGCTGGCTTTAAATGCCTGTATTTAAAAAAAATGCTTCTGTTTCCTGATAGTCAGCCTTGCAAACAAAAACAGGACAGGGCTGATAATCCTCTGTGCATCCTGACCACTGGAACCCAATCTCTTACACACACTCTGTATCCTTGCATGTGCTGTTTCCTTCCACTGCACAGATGTCACTCAACTCATACATCACAGAGAATTACAGTTGGTGCACAGGTGACCCATGCACGGGAATTCTGGGTGGATAAAGCACATTTCACCCAAAATCTGTCCACAGTGTCTCCTCTGAGCTCTGCACTGCTGGGGGTGCAGCTCATTTCTTGAAGTAGAAACCATGAGGCCACTCAGCACCAGAGACCTTGTCCCCAACTCCCCCCCAAACTGCATCCTGAGTGTCCCCAACTCCCCCCCAAACTGCATCCTGAGTGTCCCCAACTCCCCCCCAAACTGCATCCTGAGTGTCCCCAACTCCCCCCCAAACTGCCTCCTCAGGGGTTTTGTCTGGCCCGTCACTTCCAGGCAAACTACAGTGCAAGGAGAGGGGACCAGCACCCTTCCTGCAGAGATCTACGGGACCAGCACAGACACAGCAGAGTTCCTGATGCTTTTAGTTCAGCCAGCGGGAAGAAAACGGATGCAGGAAGTCATTTAGTTCCACTAAATATAATCCGGAGCTAATCAGCACCAGATTAGAAATTACATTGTTTTTATTCTGCAGTTTGTTAACACAGAGCCTGATGATATTCGGCATCAAGATAAAAAGAAATAATAAGAAAAATAAGCCAAGAACACACCCTCCACCTGCTAAAGCCTGAGAACATCAAACATTATGTAGGTGGAACAAGCTGTGCTCAGAACAAATAAAAAAATATTTTGTTTGATTTTAATGTTATCAGTGGGCTTTTGTTTTGAAGCAACATTTCAGATTTATATAAGGGTGATTTAGGTGCTTTTAATCTCTCTCATATATAGGTATTATACCTCCCTAACATTGTATCTCTCTCAAAACTCTACTGACACTAACGCTTTTATTTAGCAAAAATACGTATCACTAAAATTAGAACCTATTCTTCCATGTGTTTTAAAGACAATAATTTGTTTCATTAGTCATTAAAAGCGGGTCTGGGAAGCATCACCTGTACTGGCATAATTTGATAAAGATGGTGGTTTGGTGGTAAATGTCAATGGTGAGGCACACAATGGAACACCAACGTCCTGATGCACACACAGCCCCAGAGCCCCCCCTGAGACCCCTCCAGGGCCCTTCCCAGTGCACACCTTTGCCTGAACATCACAGCTGGATCCATGTTTGCCGAGGTCATTCGGACAACTTGGCGGATTTCCTTGGCAATCATTCGCAGCTTCTCAAAGTTCACCAGGCCATCCACTTTGGAATCGTTGCCTGCATAATTGAGACACACACATAAGAGAAAAGAAAACAAAAAAGAGTAAGAAATTCTTTAGAGTGACCCTGTGTTGCCCTCCCTGCCCTCCATCAGCAAAACTTTTAATCAAAACAGCAGGAAAACAGGAAGCTCTGGCAAAACACAAATGGAATCAGGCCCACTCACAGTACCTTGTATTTGTATCTTGTATTGGCCCTTGTTAACCTATTTCTGAAGTAACAAGCATTAGTAGGAGGAAAAAGTAATAAGTGAACTATGCCCAAGTTCACTGGCATGATGTTAAAATATAAATACAGAACTGATGGGGACAGCATTCCCATTTGGAAAGAAGTTCAAACAGTTCTGAGCCATCACAACCAAGAACTGGGCATATTTGGAAATGTTTCGCCTCAGCCACTTGTGAACAGGACTTTGTGTAAACGGAACAAAATGGAAATGTCTAAACAAAACCTCCTGAAAATGCTGAAAGCAAGAGTAGGAGGTGTTGGAGCTGCCTGAAAGCCACAACATGGAATGAAAACCTGGAAACATCACAGCAACAAGTTCTTTTTTTGTGAGAGAATATATTTGAAGTAGTGCAACTACCAGCCAGCACACTCACCTGTGCTTCCAGCCTAAACCTGAGGACAGCTGATGAAGTCTAAGCATTGCTTTTCAAATATTAAAAATATGCATTTAATTTTTAATTTTTGTCTAGGATCAGTCTCTTCCACTCAGCATTCTGAGTCCTATTTTACTTTCCTCCTACAAAGGACCCATCAAAAGCATCCCACTGGTGGCAGCTTCCTTAGACACGTGTTGACACGAGGAGCACTGAAGAAAGGGCTAAAGCATATTCAGTGCTCCGCTTGTGTTCTCCCTGTTTGACATTACCTTCATGCAGGAACGTGATATCCTTCTTGACAACAGGGAAAAGTGGGATAATTGGAGGCTGCATGCTCTGGCTGCTCAGGATGTTGCGGTATTTTGCCATGTTTCGAGATGGATCAAAAAGATCTTGAAGGTCTCTGAGGTGCTTTTCATACTTGCTGGGTAACTTTTCCCAAGTGCCTCTGAGCCGAGCTACTGGCGCAAGATTTAACCCACTGCAAGGCAGGAAGGTTTCATGGTTAGCTGTGAGCAGAACTGCTGCATTTCAGAAGGAAGTGAAGGGTTGTTTTAAGGATTAAAAATAGCTTTCCCAAGGTTAAATGTAAAGCTGGCTGGGTGCCAGAGTACAAGTTCATCACAATAAACCTCTGCTGTTTAAACGGGACTGTAAAAACCACAACTGCTTCCTATGCACAAGGTACAGATTTCCAATTACTGCCAAAATAATCACTCTGTAAAACAGGACTAATGTCTGTTTAAGAACCACTTCTCTCCTGTATAAATGGCTATCACAATAAGGACAAAAGGGGTAGAGAATGAATGAGGTGAAGTAATGGTTGCACAGCAAATGAGAACAGTGCAGAGCTCATCCCAAGCAGAAGTGGGAAGACTTTAGGAAGAAATTCTTCCCTCTGAGGATGAATTTTTTCAGTTGTTTTTTTTTTTCCACATTTTGAAAGCTTCAAAATCTTGTTTTGAATTTGGTTTATTTTTCATACGGATTTCTCTCCACGCTATGCCAAACAAAGCCTTCTCTGACATGAAAAATCCAACATATGCCAGCTCACAGCTTCTCTTTTCCATGCTAGTTTAGGATGGTTATCTTCCTATTTCAGGAGACATATGGCATCAAACTGCTGTGCAGGACAAGGCAAGAAAGACAACCCCTGTGCCATATGCTAACAAAAACATATTACTCTGGAAATAAGGGTAAAACAGTAACTAATTTATTTGCCCTTTTTTTTTTTTTTTTACCAAAGTCCACTTCAGTCATGGCCTGATTAGACTTAACTGAGAAGCAGGAAGAGTCATTTCTCCACTACAATAAACCAAGAGAAATTAGGGAGCAGAATATAAAAATGAGATTCAGTATCCATGTGCGTATTCACCATGTAATGAGCAGCCCCAGCCCCAATTGCTGCCCAGTCCCTTTGAAGGAAATTCATGAATTCTTTAATGTATGACTAACCAGAAGCCAATACCCTTTGATAAACTGGTTAGACATGGAAGAAAATATTTTATAATGGCATTTTCAACAATGGTGCTGGGATACAGCACAAATCCAGATCTTTATCTGATGAATCACAGTGCCTTTTTTTTTCCCTAAAGTAAAGGCTGGGTGTAAGATAATTGCAAATAAAGGAAATGCTGAACTCATGCTGTTAAAGTAGCAGCATTCAGGATAAATCAGAAGAGAAAGTCTAAATGTGCAGTTGAAGAGGGGAAAAAATAAAATAGACAAGCAAGCAGATGACAGGAAAGAATGAAAAGGAAAATTAAGCCAAAACAAGACTGATTTGAGGAAGTCCTTACAATGGAAGGAAGAAATGAAGTAATCTCATCATCACAGATACGACTCAAAAAAAGTAACAATGACTGACAAAGGGAAGGGAAATTGGGTGCAAAAATCACGGAAAATGACACAATGCTCAGGCAGGTTCCTGAGGTTCATCAATCAAACAGTGCTTTGTCCCCATCTTCTCTTTCCCTGGGAGGTAACAGGTAAAAGAGAGACTGTCACATCCAGCACCCCAATGGGACTGAACCGCTGCGGTGACAATCCAAATCCACCTCGGACCAGGTTGGCTCTGGAAAACCACCCAGACCCATCTGTAATGTGCCCAGGATGGTCCTATTTCTTCCCTTTCAGCTTAGATTACCAGAATTGCCTCTGACAGCACCAATCAGAGCTGAAAAACGGGAAGTATTTTACCTTATAACCGCGAACATGGAATTGAAGTTCTTGCATTCTCGACAGTGGAGAGCGATTTTAATGAAATGCTTAATAATCTTCATTCTTTTGAGCTGGTTGGGCTCTGCTAAAATTTCCATGGCAACCCAGAAGGTCTCTTGGTTTATGACATCCTCGAACTGTTTCAGGTGAGCGTTCCCTGTTTTGGAGTCCAGCTTGTAGAGGTCATCGATGTACTCCGTGGGCTCGATGTTGCGGAACAGCTCGAAGTCCCTCATGGAGAGCTGGGTGGCCACCTCGATGGTGCTCAGCTGGAGCAGGGAAATTTGGCTCTCCCGGAGCAGCTCCTGAGCATCCTCGTCTGAGCATAAGGTCTCTGTCTCCATGTTGTTTTTTAGATAATACCTGGAGAACAATGGAGTGACAGCGACCCGTCAGAGATGCTCTTCAGAGGGTTTGTGAACACAAGGACGTTGAACTGCACCAATCAACGTGGGCATTACAGAGACAAGAAGGGACAGGATAACCTTGTACTTCAGCTAACGTAAAATAACATCATTACTTAAGCAAACAAACGTTTCAAAAGCTGTTTTAATCTACCTCTTTGCTATCATTTCATACTGTACTCTGTAATATGCTGTAGTGTTCACCTTCAGAAGAAGGTCAGTTACTTTTCCATTTGTAAATTCAGCAGTGAAAATTACATTTTAAATATACACTAGTCCCGAGAAATCTCCTGTTAATGTCTTTCTCCATTTCTTACACAAATTCAGTGTGGCTTCTTCCATAAATTTACTGTGGCATAGTAATATTTACATGAGGCACAGAGCATTCAGGAAATGAAAATGTATCTGGAAAATTCATTTCCACAGTCCCAAGCAGATCACTTTCAGATACACAAAAGTTTATTACTCATAAATTCCCTCTTGTTGCCTAGCAAAGACAACTACAGAGTTTTTCACTTTAATAAACTTTCTTCTGGTCTGGATCAGGTCATCAGATAAAACCAAAGCACTTAACGTTTCAGAAGGATTCAGAACAGTTTACATAAAAATGGCAGAATTTATCTCAGGTTAGAATCAGTTCATTGCAACACAGCACTGAGGAAAGAATTAATTGTATGCTTTAATCCTCCAGTACATGTGGGAAGTGTCAGAACAAATATAAATTTTTTCTCCAAGTGTAAACCACTATATATGTTATATAGCTGATCTGCTAAATTTAGCTGTCATCAAGCAAGCTGGCTGTGGATTTGGGGAGGAGTTTTGGGTGCATAAGATGAAGGTGACACAAGAGGAGAGAGGAAAGTGTCATTTATTGGTATTGACTGCTTGTCCTTCTAACAGACACTTGTCTATTTTAATTAAAACGTCCCCCATGGTGATCTGGGGGGTCTTTTCCAACCTTAATGCTTCCATGATGTTTTAATCCTAAAAGGCAACTAAAAGCAGAGCAGAAGTCCTATGAGGAGAGGCTGAGGGAGCTGGGGCTGTTCAGCCTGGAGAAGAGGAGGCTCAGGGGAGACCTCCTCACTCTCTACAACTCCCTGACAGGAGGGGGGAGCCAGGGGGGGGTTGGTCTCTTTTCCCAGGCAATGATCAGCAAGACAAGAGGGCTCGGTCTTAAGCTGTGCCAGGGGAGGGTTAGGTTGGAGATTAGAAAGAATTTCTTTCCAGAGAGGGTGATCAGCCATTGGAATGGGCTGCCCAGGGAAGTGGTGGATTCTCCATCCCTGGAGGTTTTTAAGATGGGACTGGATGTGGCATCAGTGCCATGGGCTGGGAACCACAGCGGGGTTGGACCAAGGGCTGGACTGGATGATCTCGGAGGTCCCTTCCAACCCAGCTGATTCTGGGATTCTATGATTCTGTGATTAATCCTAAAAGGCAACTAAAAGCAGAGCAAGCCGAGGGCACATTTACCGTCCGTTGAGCTGGATCCTGTCGGCCAGCTTGGAGAACTGATCCGGGAGGCGCCGCTGTTTGATGACGCCCTCGGGGCTGACGGACACCTCGCACAGGGAGTAGGTGTCGGGGGCCCCTGTCAGGTTGAACTCGTGCACAGCGTGGCTCACCACCTCCTTGGCTGTGGTGTCTTTGCTGATGATGATGTAACAGCTCTGCTGATCCGCTTTGAAAACTCTTATCACCTGATCCGGGATATCTAAAAGAAGAGGAACACCTTTGATGGGTGAAGTTACTTTTCCCCTTGAAAAGACACATTGTTCGGAGAGAGGCTTGTGGTGACAGGACAAGGGGGAATTGCCTTAAGCTGAAGAAGGGTAGGTTTAGTTAGATTGGATATTAGGGAGAAATTCTTCCCTGTGAGGGTGGGGAGGCCCTGGCACTGGTTACCCAGAGGAGCTGTGGCTGCCCCATCCCTGGAAGTGTCCAAGGACAGGCTGGACAGGACTTGGAGCAACCTGGGCTAGTGGAAGGTGTCCCTGGCCATGGCAGGAGGTTGGAACTGGATGGGCTATAAGGTCCCTTCCAACCCAAACCATTCTGTGACTCTAAGACTGTCTCATTTGATAGCCAGAGAACAAAACAAAAACCAGCTGCTGGGGAACAAAAGCCATGCTGGACTTGAAAAAATATTAAAATATTCTGCTTCTTCCTTCAACTTTGAGAGGAAAAAAGAAGACTCTTCTCATCAGGGCTTTTCCACAACTCAATTCCTTTATCATCCCATGACCACAATCAAAGTACAAGACACTCAGTATGTCCCTGAGCTGTGCATCGTGCTTCCCAGCGGGCCTCAAAAACTTTGGCAGCATCATTCCTTCTCTGGCTCTTGTGTGTTTGTGAGAGCCAGGTCCACACACGTGCCAGGGCACGTTTCCCAGGGATGGATGGGCTTGGGGTGGGAGGATGTGAAGAGGAAAGGAGATTTGGTTGCTCCCATAACTAGCTGTGAGCTTTCACACTTGCCCTCTCCCCCTGAAGGAACTAAGCTGCTGCCAGCAGTTAATTCTTTGGTTGGTATACTTATTTATAGCACATTTTATGTATTATAAATGCATTAGAGAACAGCTTTATCTGAGGCAGCCTACAGCAGGAAATAAATATCTACAGAAACATGTGTTTAATCCACAGTTTGATGATTGCAAATAATTTGCTCCATTAGTTATTACAGAAAGCTTGATTTTCAAAATAAAACTCACTGGAAAAAAAAAGTCCAGAGTCAAAACACACACTAATTCCAAGCACAAGGAAACCTAGTTTTCCCCCTCCCTAAAGTCTGAAGACTAAACTTCACATTAATTTTCCTCTAACAAAATCCACTGTTTCAGGAAAAAAAACAAGATCTTTGGGGGCAGTGACCTTGGGATAACTTTTTCTTGTGTCAGGACTTAATGGTGTCATGGGGACAAGTAGCAGGAATTTCAGGGCAAAAAGTTAAGCAGGTAGTCTGTGGTCCAGTATCAAAAGTTTCCACCCATTGGAAAAAAGAAAGGTTCAATATCAGTTGTAAATAAATTTGAAGATGGGAGCAAATAGGGTTTTGAAAAAGAATCTGATTGAAAGCTAATTCTTCTAACAGTTTCATTATTAGGGTTATCACATTACCAGGGCATTCTCATTAGTAGTTAGGGACTAGCTGAATTTGAAAAGCTCAATATATACATGAACAGGGGCAATAAAGGGAATAAATAACTATTCTGTCCTTGTTTCAGAGTGAAAGTGGTAGAAATGACATTCTGGATAATCAGGGAAGTGCCTGCACTCATAAAAATCATAATAAATCAACAGAAAAGGGAAACATCTATACTTCAGTATCAACATACCTAAAAATCAGAACACACTCAAGGTGTAAGACTGAAAACTGAAGTTTAATTTGGGGGAAAAAAGGAAAAAATAAAATAAAAAATAATCACTATGCAACCAAAACAATGCAACATGTGACAGGGGAAGGAAACATAAATTACAGGCACATGTCTGTCTTCATGGTCTTTGCTTTTAAGCAGGTAAATATTATTAAATTAAATGGTTTTTTATGCATTGTTCAGCTTGTGTCGGCAATACAAAGCACATTTCCAGTCTGCATGCACAGCATTTTAGTTAGAGTCCAACAGAAGAGCAAATTAAATCTCAAACTACGTTATCATCCAAAACTTCAGCTCTATAAGAGATATAAGCAACTTCATTCCTTCAAAGCAAGGCCACAGAGAAGAGAAGAAACTGCCAAAGGTCATCCAGTGTTTCAGTGGCAGAAAAGGGAATAAAATGCAGGTCTCAGCACAGCACTGTGCCTGTGTGAGAACCTATGGATTTGTTTTATTTGAGGAAGCTTACAGGGCACAGGGCTATGGGATGCCCTACAGTAATAACTGTGTCAATGCAGTGTCTGGTAGTGTTAAGTTTTCAGGCAAGCCATGCAATATTAAGGTCTACAGGATGCTGAACATCAGGATACTTACAGTAAAACCCAACAGCTGCAGGCAGGAGAAAAAGAAGAAAACTGTGTCAACAGCAAATCGAGATTCAGATGTTTACAAAACTTATCAAGTGTACACTGTCAGAACTAGTTTGGTTTTCTCTGTTCTTTAAACATGGCAGCATATTTGTTATAGCAAACGTGAAGTAAAGGTAATCTAGGTAGACATGTCCCTGCCCATGGCAGGGGGGTTGGACTGGATGTCCTTTAAAGGTCCTTCCATCCCAAACCATCCTGTGATTCTGTGATTGATTTCAAGATGAACTAGTTATCAGACAGCAAGAACCTGGAAGTGCAGCAAAAAGGGAACTTTTCTGCTATGGATATTTATGACCTGATAGGATATATCTGGGTACATCCCTTCTAAAGGGGAAATCTGCAAGTTTACATAAACATAACTCACAGCCACAAGGCACCTTACAGACTTTGTAATTATGCACAGAACTTACACTTGAAATAAGGAAAAAAGATTCTGACTTGACATGTTTACAGGCAGCTGCATATCACAACAAATAACTCCTGCAGCCACCCCATAAAGTGGGTTCCTACAGCAACAAAAGCCCACACTACACATCTCAAAACATTTTAAAGGTTTTTAGACACACAGTTGAACATACATAACGTTTGTAAAACACAAAACATTAACATCACTGTGTTGGTAGCACAGCAGTCCTATTCTATCCACAACACTGCTTGAAATATATACTGGCAGATGGGGGATGGACAAGCCAAAGCACCAGTACAGGTAAAAGAGAAAGGTGTGGACAAGGACAATCTGCTTCCACCAGAGCAGATTTACTCCAGTGAATCAATGTCTTTGTAAAAAGAAGTGTCACATTACAAAAAGAGCATGTAGGAGACGTTCAGGCAGTGTGGATTTTCAGCAGAGCTCCAGTGTGGCCCTGTTGAAGCCACAGGACAGACAAGTAACTGCACTCAGCTCATGTGATGCTGGTGAAACGCATCATTTTCCCCCCTGCCCTGTTAATCATCCTGTACAAACCAAGCTCCTTCTGCTGTTTTACCTGAGGGGTTAGAGAAGTCCAGGATGCTGGTTGTGGGCTGGAGCAGGTCAGGGCTGCTGGAGGAGAGGGTCCCTGGGATGGGCATGATGGCCAGGCTGTGGCGGCACTGCCGGGTGCCCACGATGCTGTCGTCCTGTGACTGGCTCACGCTGCCGTCACTGCAAAACAGCTCTGCCTCACTCATGGGCACTCAACCCCTGCTACTCAGCTTGGGGTGAATGAAACTAAGGGAAATAATGCTGTTCAGCTGTTTAATTACATGTTGTAGACGGGGTTTCAAAACGAGGACAGAGAGGAAAGAGATTTGAAATCGTTCGCGGGGAGAGAAAAGATGTTTTGGTCTCGTTCTGTATTTATGGGGCAGGTGACACGATTTTTTGAAAAACATAAGTAGAGTGGACATAAGGACTAGAGATACTAAGCAATTAGTATCTCTTAATGGCCTTAGCTGAAGGAGGGGAGGTTTAGATTTGATCTTAGGAAGAAATTCCCTGTGAGGGTGGGGAGGCCCTGGCACAGGTTGCCCAGAGAAGCTGTGGCTGCCCCTGGATCCCTGGAAGTGTCCAAGGCCAGGTTGGACGGGGCTTGGAGCAACCTGGGATAGTGAGAGGTGTCCCTACCCTTGGTAGGGGGTGGAATGGGATAGACTTTAAGGTCCCTTCCAACCCAATTCATTCTATGTTTCCACGATTAAAGCATCACAACCTAATGAGGAACAACTTTTTGGCAGAAGAGTCTGACAAACCTGAACAGTTTTGGAGGCAAGATGCTGAAACGGGTCTTGTCTAAGATTTTCCTGATTCTGTTTCTGCCACCAGATACAGTGTTTGCTTTCATTTTCTTGTTTCCTTTTTCCCGGGGAAACATCTGTTCCACATCTCCAGGCATATCTGGGATGGAATAACGGTTGTTTTTCTTTTCTGCAATTTTTGGAATATGTGGAATTCCATTCTTCTCTTGTCCTATCCTGCAGAGCAGCTCCTTGAACACTGTGAGAGAAGACACAATCATTGTGAGTTACCTTTGCACGCTCAGAACTTCACAGGGAATTCTTCTTTCCCCCTCAAACCTTTTGCTTTCCACATCCCAGATTGATAACAAGGATTCAGGGCAATCGGCACCATGTATTTATTGGCTTTTTTGTTTGCCTGTTTTTGGTAACGGAGTGCAGATGCTTCCTCAAGAATAACTGCAGCACAGACTGAGATTTTCCCAAACTGCCTTTGTTTGCTTTTCCTAACACTACTGAACAGAAACTGCATCAAATTTCCTGTTGCATTTATCAAGCTAAGCCAGTCTATTACCCACACTGACTTTCCCAAAGATACAATTCCACAGAAATGTTTATGTTCTTCCTGTTTCTTTCCACATATATAAGGTGAAAAAAAAAAGTTCAAATTGGTTTTTCAATATCAATTATTTCTTTAAAGATCTTTTAAAAATCCTTTGAAATCACTCAACTCAGAAAGTCAGTATTTTCTGTTGAAAACATGGTGATACTGGAAGAATGCAGAACTGTACACAGTAAATTACTCAGACAGTCCCTATGAACAGGGAAACCACAGAAAGTACAGAAAGTCCAGTTAAATTGCATAATTCTATTATATAATAAAACTTATAAGTTTTCCCAGTCTACATTTGAATATAACAACAGGATTTGCTCATTGCCAGCACCAGGCACTTAGCACTCAATTAAAAAGTCACTGTATAATAAGTATCACTGTTGAAAAAAGCTTCCAGACATGAATCCATTAAAATTTATCCAAGAAATCACCTTGAAATTCTATCAGCCAGTAGGAAGAGATCAGAACCCATTTGTAGATGTATGTTGCTTATATTTATAATACAAATAAACCTCTCACTGTCTCAGTTGCAGTGATGCTTCATTCCATGTCCTTTCACATTAGTCTGGACCACTGGTGGTGGTTTTATGCTCTTTTTGAATTATGCTAATAATCAACTGCTGAGGGTTTGAAACTCTTTACCCATGCAGGGATAAACATTGAATAATAATTGAAAAGAAAATCAGTAGTGAGCAAGGGCAGGTAACTGGGGGAAGAAAATAAGGAAATCATTAGAAGGTCTTGGATGCAACTATGGGGGAAGGAGTAATTCTGTGCACAGCTTCTGTAGCTGGTTATTCTGAACAGGATTATGGAAAAACAACAGATGATCTGACTGAGATTTTAAAGAGGTATTTATGTGTTTATATTCATGATGACAATTAAGAGCCAGCATTTATATGCCACACCACTTTTTATATCCGCTTTTCAATTTGAGACATAAAGGCAATTTATCCTCTCGTCCTCACAGCCATCATAAAAACTTCTACAAAACCCCAGTTTTACATCTTTGCCGTTTCTTGGCAAAAATATTTTGGTCCAGCTCCCTTGGCTCAGCTTCAGCCACACAGCATGGAGGGACAGTAAAGCAGCTTAAACAGTCACTGAGGGTGTCTCAGGGAGGGAAGAGCTGCCTGTGCTGGCTCTGTGCCCCTCAACGTGCAGCCCTTGGCACATGGGAACTTATCCAAGCAAACAGAGGCACAACGAGGGGACTTCTGCACAACTTCTCACTCCCAGAGCGAGCTGGAAAGGAAGGTGGAATCCTATTGCACTTCTAGAGCCAGAAAGAGTGGAGCTGTTCCTTCACACACACAAGGAATATATCATATATAAAGTCTACTCACCAAAAATGTTTGTTTTTACAGTAATGGAGAGATGTGTGTTGTTCCTTAAGATTTCCAGAGCTTTCACAAAGGTAATGTTCTCAAAGTTCTGTCCATTTACTTCCATTATCTTTAAGAAAAAGTAAGAATTAGGCTATTAGGAGAACATCTGTTTGACAGACTTAAAAATACAAAGGTGATAATACAGGCACAGTAAGAACTTTCCAGAAGTTCTCATATGATCTTTACAGCAGTCTCAGAATCAAACCATTCCTTGTAAAATAACTACTTTCATCATGTCAGTGAAGTTATATGCTGAGAATAAGACAGGACCTCCATTTCTACCTGACAAATGCTTGAAATAACTTTATTTTTTATGGCAACATGACATTCTTGCAATTAATCAGGAATTTAGAATCAGAAATGTAACAGATATAAATGGAAGCTGAGCTGTGGCATTCCCAAGAAAACCCCTGTACAACCTTTTTGTTGAGAACACCAGAGGTGGCTGAACCAGAATATTTAAACTAACATTACTGCTTTTACCTGATCACCACGCTTGAGTCCAGCCTCTGCTGCTTTACTGCCCATCTCCACAGTCTCTACAAAAATACCAAAGCCCTTGTCACTGCCCCCGAGGAGGCTGAAAAACAGGGGGGAATCTCGGGAAGGTTTTTGCAGCGTGATTTGTCTCCATTTTGCTTTGGCAGCACAGGCAATATTCAACAACCTGAGATGGCCTTTCATCTTCTGCAACACAACACACAAAATGCAGTGCTTTTATCAGAAATGGAAAAACAGTTATGAAAAACACCCCAAGTGCCAGCAAATAGATTTTTGATGCCATGTATTAACATCTTACTAAATAAACCTTGTCCTCTTCTGCAGAAATGCAAAAACCCATAAATGAGTGCCATAGGTACTCCTTTATATGGCCTTTGTATCTAAATATATATATATAACAACAAATATGTCCATGTTAAAAGCCACCTGTATCTGTTACATTTATAGACTGCAGTGTGTGAGGCACTGGTAACACTGGAAAATTGAAACATGGAATTAGAAAATGTGACACTCTTTCTTTTTGGCTCCTACCGTATCTTCCAAGTTCTTTTCAAATTCTTCCAGGAATCGAGTCATGGCAGGATCTCCTTCAAAGTCATTAAAATGATTGTTCACCCACAGTAAGACCACTCTGGTAACCTGTAAAAACAAAATAAATTCTGTGTATGTATATATACATATATCCACATATACACAAGGGTATCTATGATTCTTCTCCTATCAGCTTTAATCTATAAACATGGACATGGCAGAATAACATCTGACAGATTACTATTAGGTTTCCTTCAGCTCAAAACTAGAACACATAAAACCACTGGCTAAGAATTTTACTGCCATAATTTTCAACATATTGACACGACACAAGTTCCAGACTATCCACATTTTTCACGTGTGTGCACAGGGTTACAAAGAGCTGAACCTGGTTCTATTTCTGGAAGCATTTTTACCAACTGCACTTGTCTTGAGCAGAGTTTATTTGAAGTCCAGAGTTTGTAAAAAGCTGCTCAAACAAAATGTGCTCAAAACACTGGAAAGCTCTGCAGTAGAAATCATGGAAAACAAGCACAATGCTGTTGTAAAAAGAAAACCAGAATGTCCAAGAGAACCTGAACACAATTCCCTTAAATTTCTGGTGAAAAAGGGTTTCAGAGACTGGCATTTACCTCTTTATATTAAACAGAAAACACTATTTATCATTCTGCAGAAGAGAAGCAGCATCACACCTGATTTTGGATAGCACACCATCACACACAACACCTTGGAGAATCCTTTCTTGATATAAGTGAAAAATACTTCGCTTTAAAATGTTTCGTATAAAATAACTGAAGCATAATCCTAGTTTATCACAATAGAAAAAGGAATCCATCTGAACACATTTTCACCAGAAACACTGATCTCTCAGACTCAACCAACCTTATCCCTGAGGCTGTCCACTGTGAACCATTCCAAGAGTTTATTTCCAACTTCCAAGGGGCTTGCTAGAAATGTTCTGTATGTTAAAAGGAAATCTTCAATGTAGGTGGGATCCACAATAGAATGTTCTTCTATTAAGTGCATGATGAGTCGCTCGGGTGTTGCCTTAAAAAAGTAAATGCAAAAAATAACTGGTACCTCTCATCTCTACCTCTCCCTAGAGAGTATTTCAACATAAACCCAGGTGAACAGTATAATATCTTTACAAAGTTCAACTATGGCAAACTCAGGAGAAAACACACCAACATGTTTAAATCAAATCTTCCTGCTTCTCTCAGCACCGATGTTTTGTATTTATTTACTAATGAATAACAGTTTAATAGATTAGTGGAAAGCATAGAAAGACATTCACCTTGATAACTATGTGGCCTTTTCTGGTTCCACTGCGATCCAGCTCCCTGTGCTCCTTCACCATCACAATTTCTCCCTCTTCCTCCACTTTATGAGTGTTTTTTTCCACATGGTTCAGAATCCTCCAGTAGTCTTGCTGGGCTATACACACAAACTGTCCCCAAACAACAAGAGACTGTGAATAAACATCTAAACCATGAACACATGCCCTTCTGCAGGCTGAACAACCCCAGCTCTCCCAGCCTGACCCCACAGCAGAGATACTCCAGCCCTCTGAGCATCTTTGTGGTCTCCTCTGGACCTGCTCTAAGAGGTCCATGTCCTTGTGCTGAGGAGCTCAGAGCTGGAGCCAGTGCTCCAGGCAGGGTCTCATGAGGGGGAGAGTCCCCACACTTCTTCTGATGCAGCCCAGGATGCAGTTGGGCTCTTGGCTTATATTCAGCTTTTCATCCACCCCACCGTATCTTAGGATAAAAGTAGTCTGTTGTCTTTTATTAGATGTTAAAAAATACAAAGTAGTTGTACAGAATTGCAATCTCACCTGACAATCATCTACTTTGGTTCTGACCACTCCATTCATGTACTGTTTGTCCAGAGAGGGAGTAATCCCAAAACTATTTCCCATACAGAGACTCTCGCTCTTCCCATCAGGATAGCTGATTTCCACTGTGCCATTTAAAATAACATACCAAGAATCGAGCTAGAGGAAGAAAAAGAACCAAAACCAAACAAGTGAAGTTAATTCAACAACTTTTCTAAGCTCTTATCTCAGACAGGCTCATTCCTGCACTCCCCAGTTTGCTGTCCCCATGGCTCTGCAACATTTCATTCACTGAAACGGTGCAGTGGAAGGCAGCAATGGAAATGACTGAAACAAGAATGCTTCATTCACTTCACAACTAATTCCAGAGGGAGGAATGCTGATGAAGAGATTGCTTTTTTAATCTGTGGGCTAATTGCTATGATATATTTATACCATTTAGTGAGAGTGAACACTCTTCCCCTGGGCACCCATTTGGTCACTACCAGAGATGAGTCCACCTTGCCCTCCTGGAGGGATGAACAAGGAATGCCATTCCTGAGGGCTTGATCCAAGCAGAGGGAAAGATCTCAAGATAGTGATTCAGGGCACCTATGCTGGGAGCCTGACCACAGACTAACCTGAACATCTGTCTCCTCCCAGGGAACATGTATAGAAACTGCTCCTAATTTAGACATTACTGGGCAAAGATACCTCTCCATATTAGTATTTAAAAAACCCTACATTATAAGAAGAGAGTTTTTTTCTCCAGTGGAAATTATGCCTTTTTTTATCCCACAAATCATCTTTGAAATAAGTTGGCATTTACCTGATAACAACATCCTGAATGCTCTTTAATGCCTATACTTGGTATATAAAGTATATACTTGGTCTATACTTTGACTCTACTTGGTAAAGTCTTGAACAAGACAGTAACCATCACAGAATGGTTTGGGTTGGAAGGAACCTTAAAGATCATCTCATTCCAACTCCCTCCACTGGCAGGGAACCAACACACAGGTAGAATCTCCTGAAGGGATGGACAGAGGTTTGGGGATTTTGGCTACGGGGTCAGGGTGAGAGAAGAATTCTCTAACTTCCAAGTGTGGAGATGGGAAACATTTTCCAGCCCTTCAGCCTCAATGCCCTTGGTGACCTGCCTGTGGCACCCACACGGTGCTGCAAGCACTGACTCACCTCTTGGCCATCCTCGAGGATGATGGCTCCTGCTTGCTCCACCACTTCGAAGATCATCACTGAGCAAAGCTCTCTTCTCACAGACATGGTCATGTTTGCAAAGGCAGGGAGTTGATGCATAAATTCCAATAATTGCTCTGTTGGACAAAGGAAACACTGGTATGACGACTGCAGGGCCCAGGGGTTCCTCAGATCCCTCACCCTCCACAGGTCCATCAAACCTCAGCCACACTCACAATTGCTCAGCGGGGTCACACTCCCCATTAGTGCCTGGGGCTAAATGAGCCCAGTGTGCACTTTGTCATCCACAGCCAGAGCTCGGCTCTGCAGCCTGGCTGGGGCTCTGATTGACTCTCAGGGCAGCAGTCTAGCTAAGAGGAGAAGCACTTCAGCTTCAAACATGGAGAAAAATTAAAAATACCCCTAGGTACAGTAATTACAAGCTTGACAGGAGCATGAAATGATTTTCCAGTGTTCAGAGAGGCAATCTGGAGTACAGCAGAAAGCAAGTTTTGCTATTGAAGTTAATGCCAACTTCTAGTTAAACACTGCAGCAAATTATCTTCATTTGAACTGTTCTACAGTTTACAGCTAAGTATACCTATACTCAGTATGTTCTCTTTGCTATTTAGTAACTAATTCAACAGTTTCAGGCAGCCAAAATTACCTTGCTGCCTGTCCCATCACATCAACACACACAATGACTGTGTATACTTCACATCTTGAGCATCTCAAAGACTAAAATATTTAGTTTTTCAGAACAAATAGACTCTCAGACAGTAAGAGGAGAAATCATTCAATTAAGAGTATCACTAAAGCAAAGTGATCACTGGAAGGCATCACTCATTAACACACACACTGAAAATTAAGTCATTGAACAGCTTTCAGATATGTTTCTCTTACAGATATTATATGATGCAGTTTTATGTAAATTTATGTATTTTTTCTCCTCACCAATGTCATCATCAGTTTTATCTGCAGGCTCTTTCTCAAGGCACTCTCGGACAACATCTCTCCCTAGAAGTGGATCGGAAGTTCTGTCAATGTCTTCATCCTCCTCCTCTTCTTCATCTTCAGAGTCTACAGGTGCTTCTGGAAGACCCGTTAAATCAACATCTCCCATCTCACTTTCTGTGGCCTACAAAGAAAATATCAATCAGACAAAGAGTTCAGTGTCTTCAGTTTAAACATGTATGGTCTGAGGTAGCTAACAAAATAAAAAATAAATTCTGTGACCCACAAGTCAAACTAGAAACTGCAACAGCTCCTTTCTGAACACTGAGGAAAACACATCATGCTGAAATCTATAGTTACTGGATTCTCATTTTATAGTATTTACTATTTCTTGTGAATTCATGTAAAATTGTTTTTTCGTAAGTGGAGTCTGTATTAATCACGAAATAATAATGAAGTTTAATTGGTTACCCAATGCCTGTAGACACATTTCTACTGTCAGCAATAGAGGGCAACACAGACATCACAGTGAGCAGACACACGAGGCCACAGCCAGAGAGAACACAATACATGCAACCAAAAGCAGAACCACACAGGATTCGTTTGCACTAATTCCTTCTGTAAAGTTTAAATGATGTAATTGCATGAAAATAAATTTCCAAACAGATGGAAGGGGGGGGGAAGAAGTTTCAAATTCTCAGTTTCTACAGAGTAGTTGCTCAACCACTCTTTTTGAAGTTTAAGCCAGCATGCAAATCATTTTTCTGTTTAAATTCAAAAATTTCAGCAACAAGATATGTCACTGCAAAGTATAAGGCAATTACAGGGAAACTTGCAGAAAACAGGAGTTTGTTTTTAAATGAGCACATTTACAACGCTTACTTTCACTTTAAAAGAAATCCTTGAGATTCTACAAAAACACTGAACTATCTAAGACATCAAACACTCTGCTTGTTCAGTAAACCTCCAAAACAGAGGATGAATTTAAACACTGTGATGGGGCAGCACAGCTTCTCTGGGCAACCTGTACCCGTGTCTCAACACCCTCACAGAGAAAAAATTCTTCCCTATATCCAAGATAAACCAATTTTTTTCAGTTTAAAACCACTGCCCCGTGTCCTGTCACTACAGGACAATAAAAAGCCTTTTGAATAAGCCCACTCTAAATACTGACAGGGTGCAATAAGGTGTGAGCCCCAGCACCTGGACAGAGGAGCAGCACTGCCTTCCTGCACTAAACCAAAATATCCTGGGGTTTAGATGTAAGCTTGGACTTCGGAGCGTGTCCCTGATTTAACAGTTAGCCAACAAACCTATTAACTAAAGCTTAAATGATTTAGCAAAAACATATCTTTCAGAGGAATCTAACAATACAGAGGGTTAAATCTGTTTTACATTACATCACTTTACTGGCTCCTGTAGCTCACATTAACAGTTTTGGAATTAAGCCCAAGCGCAAATTGTGCTTGGAGAGTCTCAGCAGCACATGATCAGTACAGCGTTTTATACAAGGACTTTTCTAGCATTTCTTCATCTAAATAGCCACAATTTACATCAACTGCTCCAGGCTGAATAAGGCAGACAACAGCACCACTCCCCACTTCGATAATCTCAAGCTAAGGTAGAAAAACTGAAGCTACAGGTTCTACAGAATTTTGTGTATCCTATATGGGAAAATAAATCTCCTTTCTTGGTAAGTTATGACTTGATCTAGCTATGAAATAGGAGATGGTCCTCCAACTGTGCTTCAAAGATTATGTGCAGAGGGTTGACAGAAGGTTGGCAGGTCAGGCAGAGCTGGAAGGAACAGGAAGGGTTCTGCTCATAAAGTCATCTGAGGAAGTAGCTGCTCTTCCCAAGCATGATGCTCCAGCTGTTTCCATTATCAAATATCAAAATCATTCTTAACAGAAACATTCTGAACGACTGATTTACAAAATGAAACCAGAAGCTGCAGTCCTCACATCTCACCCAAACATGGATTTCCAGGATCAGGTCCACAGTGCAGGAGTATCTACCGAGATAACATCCTTGATGCATATTTTATACACAATCCATTTTAGTATCAAGACCTTAACCACAACTGGAATCACTGCTGGGCAATAACGTTGCTGCCCACTGCCAAAGTGATAAATGAAGGATTTGGAAAAAGGTGAAAAGGAGAGAGAAACTTTCACTGACAGAACTGAACAGGTCAGAAAAAAGAGATGCAAATTGGTTGGTCACTGAGAGAAGAGCAGTGCCAGGGGCTGACATTGGCAATTCATCCATTGCAGGAGAGGGGAGACCCTGCCCAGCCACACCTAGAGACACAACCGGGACTCCCTGTGTGAGCCTGGGTGGGCACCTTAAAGCCCATCCCACGAAAGGGCAAAGGAAGATGTTTTCACCGTGTAATACAAGGGTACCTATCACAGGTCAAAGCAGTTGTACCAACCCTCATTTCAACTGCTCTCTGCACAACCACACATTCCCCTGCTTCTGGTTGAACACCATAGTTCTGAAATTAAACACACTGTCAGAACGGGGTTGAATGAAAAAAATGAATAAAAACTTGAAAATCCTCTTCAAGCAAGAAGTTGTTTTAAAAATTGTAGGGAACAACTTACTTTTTTTTTTTTATTATTATTAAAAAAGGTCTACAGTCCAACAGAAAGACAGCTGCTGTGCAGTATTCCAAGCAAGCTGGAATTTGCAATACACACATTTGGACATTTCGGTGTCCCTGTTTCGGACACCAAAACACTGAAAGCTCCAACAGGGAGCATCAGCAGTACAGGACAAGAGAGAAAAATACCTTCATAAATTTATTTGCACCACTTTTTGCAACTAACTCAAGGTTTAACACCATGTGCCCATAGCAGTGCTTACAGGCAGGAATCCTCTTGTGCTGATCTCACCTTCAGCTTTATGTTCATCATTTCCTGTTTAACTGGAAATGGGTTTTATCCTGGGCTGAGATGCAGCTGGAACCAGTGAGACCTCATTTCAACACTATCAATGAATGCAGTGTACACAGATGAACAGAAAGTCTTTCCAAATCTTAATAAAATACTGCATCATTCTTTGGTTCTACCACTCTAATCCTATTTTCCTATTCTGGAATGACGTTTGCACTACTTACTGTAAAAATTAATGTTAAGATACCATTCATAAAAAAGGTCATTTCAAGGCTACATTAATCAAAATTATTCAGAACATTAGTGACATTAATGACATTACTGGAGAGCTTGGCATGCAATAGATACAAAACTGACTGCAACAGCAAAGCAGCATTTTCCAAATACTCCATGAAAAGCTGTATTTTGTTGTACCAAAAATGCTTTCAATTACTGAGCCAATACATTACACTCAAAATGTAGGTTTACTGCATATCAAAGAGATTCTCTGCCTTCATAATACGATGAATATTGGGGGAAACAGTTTCTTTTTTCTTTGTGATTTCAAAAACTGTCTGTACTGACGTGTCACTGCAATATAATGCAATGTTAAACACTGTGCCATGGCATTATTACACCATATCTATCTATTACCAAGCAATATCAAGCTATCACTTAGAGATGTGTGACAAACAGTAAGGGAATTCTCCAACACTAACTGTTACTGCTACTGCAATAAAGCCCATAAAATACATAAATGCACCTAAAGTGCATCTTTTAACAGGTTGGTGTTTGCACATTAGGCACATGAGAAAATATACTAAAAATTCACTAAAAAAATAAGAAGGGAGAGGGAACCTCACTGGGTTGTTGGGTTCCCCCCACCCCACTCCTGACATGCCTGTTGCACATCTTATCTTCACCAACAGCTCATCAAATGCTGGATTCTCCAATGCTGTCTGCCAGGATTCAGGACACTGTAGCTCTGATCATAAAGGGCTGTAACATTATCTTTGAGGGTCTCCCACGAGTCTGACAGTGCAGACCTGTCCACGATTCCTTCAGGATTCAAAACCAGCCAGGCTCATGTCACTGAATAGGAAATTCCTATCTGAAAAGTCCCCACTCCTCAAAATTAATAGAAAATCTGCAGATATTTTCACATTAATATGTTAATCATTCCTTAGGGTACAAAATACTTTGCACCACTGTTTCTTTGCTACAGTGCATATGAATATGTTACTCCATCATTTCTTTTACTGATACAATTTTTATTTGTTTAGCAATTATGCTCTTCTGGCGTTTTCTGATGAGTAGACAAAAGGCAATTAACCACACACGATAGAATATTCACTCATTACAAGATATCATGGCTAGAATGATATCTTCATTATCAATAATATATTTTAAGTGCTTTTCACTTAGAGCAACCTCTCCAAACTACTCAGGTAGACAGGCAGGCAGACATGGTCAGGGAAACCATCCATCACCATCCTAATGCCTGACATGCTAAGGTACAACACACAGACTAGTTCTGGTGACTCTGACTGATCACATCAATTCTGTTGATGCAGAAAATAAAAAATGATAAGAATAATCAAGATAAAGAACACCATCTTCCAGCAGGGCCTCTCAGAAGTTAAAGGAGTCACAGAGCATCTTGGAGAGGCTCTCTCAGGGATGCCAGCTACTCCTGACCCAGCTGGCAGCAAGAAAATCTAAAGAAGTAGTAAGGGAATAGATGAAACAGGACAAAAACTCTGAGACACTTCTAATGTTCTAAGGGAAATTTTGCTTTAATGGCTTATTTTTAAAGCTCCCTAAATAATACGTTGCTGTAAATAGAAATATCACTGATCTGCTTCTAGTATAGAAATAATACCCAGACAGCACCTAAGGAGAGGGAACAGGTGTCTGAAATCAAGTTACACCTACACTGTGCTCCACAATTCTGTGTACCCAGTGCTGGGGCTGGATTGTAACTTGGAAGTGGAAAAGCTGTGAAATTACTGATCAACACAGAGCCAAGCTGAGCCCCCTCATCAAGCAGAACATAAACACCCATGGAATGAGCTCTGGGATGTGACACCAGACAGGTAACTTATTAAGTGTATTATCTGTAAACAAATGAAGCTCTCTCTGGATTTCAGCCAACTTCTATTCTCAGCAAGCCACACTAGAATTTCCACAGTCAATTAGTGCAGGGAGTGGGTTTATTACCATGCTTTTGTTTGCAGAACTGAACATCTGCTATTAGCAATAAATACAAATAATCAAGGAAGGTATTGGAAACATGAGGCTGATTTCATGAGATTTGTTCCATTTCAGAAAGGAAAACGATCCCATAAATCAACAAATATGACTTCTGAAAGCCACAGAGTACTTGGTGGTACAGACAGATGTGAGAAGCAACAAAAAGAGTTTTACAAGCAGCTTGTTGCACTCCCGTGTGTCCGTGGGGGTGGGCAGAAGTACCAAGAGGGCTTTACCCAAAATCTTGGATAAAGGGCCGCTCTTCTTCTTTATGGAATATTTAACATCAAGGAAGGCAAAGCAGGAAACAAAAGCCATCTCACCTGATAGATGTCAGACAGGCTGCTGCTCCCAGAGTCACTGGCAATGCTACACCCAGACTGGCTGGAGGGCACGTGTGTCACCTGAGGGTGGGGATTGTCCGTGAGGTGCATCTTGGTAAGGTCAGCTGGGAGCTGGGAACAGGAAGGATTTGGGGAAAGGCAGGAAAAAGAAAACAAGATGTATAAGTCTGATTTGAAGACACGGTTATTTAAATAACTTTTGTTGTGTGTTTGTGTTTGAATTGCTGAATTATCGAATCAAACTCAAACTGAATTTGAATCTGTAACTCGATGTACATTTTGAGAAAAAGCTAATTTAGACTAAGCTTGCCCAATCACACTCCAGATTTCATATAACTGATAGAAAATGATGCACCTTTCTACAGAACAAAGGTCTGGGCCCTTTATAGCTGATATCCCCCAAGAAGATAAATATATGATGCTGGCCAAACAGCCTGCAGTATTTAACAGTAGCTGACGTTACAATCCAATATGAAGCAGGATTCCTCTTTATAAATTCAATTTATGCACCTTAGTTCGAGAATAACCTTTAGAAAATACCAATATAGAACAAAAAGTAATGTAATCTAAACAAAAGGTTTGGTCTATAAAGGGCTTTGAATTTTAAGAAAATGAGTACACAGAAAGAATGTGATGCATTTTTGGTACAGCTATATACAACAGTACCTCTATTTTATAAATCTATCTGTAAATGAGCACACATATGCAGATATGTAAATTCTAGTGTATGACTCAAGTCCACAAATATGGTTCTTCAACTGAAAAAAAGCAAATATCAGCAATGGCTTTTGAAGATTCAAAGCTGCATGAAATCCTGTCAAGTAACCAACCCTTTAATTCAGCTGCTTGTTTATTTTCTGCCACATGTACTTCTAATATTTTTTAAATTTATACTCAAAAATATGAAAAGAACATTGTACCAAGGAATCATAGATTCTCTACGTGCTTTTACCATTGTAAATTATAAAAGTTATACACTATTCCTTTAAAAAATGTTCTGATGCAGAAAAAAGCCCAAAACTAATCTGACAGAATCAGTGCCATGATCAAATGAAAAGATTTCTTCTGTAAAGATTCCACATTGTTGTGTCAGCCACATCCAGTCCTACAAATTAAAATACAGTATTGTACAAATGCTGCTGCTCTGGTATCAACTTTATAAATACTGACTAAAGAGAAATGGTAAACAGGTTTTGATTTGGAATCATGTTTTTATGTCCATTATTTGAAGAGCACACAAGAGAAGCACTTTACCAAATATCAGTTCACTATTTTCCAAAAAAAGTGGCACCACGGGTCTTCCCACCCCCAGAAAAAAAAATCTGATACCCTCTGACACTTGTAACAATTTTATTATCAAATTGTGATGAGGAACATGGGGAATGTTGTGTCCCTTGTAATTCCCATGACATTCCCATTGGCAGTCACTACTCAAACCAAACCACTCTATGGGCTATGAAAGACTATAATGCTATTTCTCCCTCTCCTAATTCTTACCTTATTCTAGCTTTGTGTATCTTTTACTAACAAAAAGAAAGTATAAAATATCCAACCTGTAAATTCATACCTGTGGTCACGTGCATCTGTGACAAGGAGAAAGTTTGAAATGATTACTAAACTCTCACAAACGCCCACAAAAAACCCCATCAGAGTAGGAAGTGTTAAATAGTGAACTTGATCCAAAAGGGAACACAACACTTTGAAGCCACCAGAAAAGGTTTTGCAGGTTGAAAAAAAAAAAATCTATTTTCAGGATTTGAGGACAGCAAAAAGGTCAAAGCATTCAGGTGACAAAATCCAACCCAGTGGCCACAGGTACCCTCGCTGTGAGCACACGGGGGAGAGCTGATGTGACCTCCCAGCTACAGCAAAATGAGCAGCAGTGAAGCTGGGATTTAATCCTGGTCCAAGTGAACACAGTACAGAACCCATTTCTGTGCCACACACAGCACAGCACCTCTGTGCCCATGCAGCACCTCTGCCAGGCACGAGGGAGTCACATCATCACCCTCCCTACAGCCCACAGTGGGTAAGGCACCGATGTCTCCCCACACTGCTGGGGGAGGTTGCTCCCCTGGCTTTCCCCACGTGCTGTTGCAGGGCAGGGCTGGGTGTGGGTGCCACGGGGTGACACTGCTGCCCTGCTCCTGGAGCTCACCCCCAGCTCCTCTGCGGCAGCACGGCGCTCCCAGCCACGCTCCCAGCACGTCCGAGCCAGGTCAGCACAGCACTTCCAGGGAGAACATCCAGCAGCACTGTGGGACTGCTGGCCAATTACCAGGCAGGGCTGCTGGCAGAGACACTGCAAGTCAGTGGAACTGAAAAATCCAGGAGTTTCAGGAAATTACGGAACAAATCAGCCCATAGAGATTCATTACCCCAGTACTGCTGCAAACTCCTCAGCCTGTCCCCATCTTTATAACATCCCTATCCCAACAACCAGCTCCGATTCAGCTTCCATCTTTCCATCCATGAGCACATCCCACACTGACTGTGATAATACAGACAACACAAGGAAATCTAATTTAAGCTGCCTGCTATCCAGATTCTCAAATTTTCAAAACTACTCCAAGAACACAGTGAGCAGGACCAGGAGAGGAACCAAATCTATGGGATTTCCCAGGAGAACAAGGGTAGGTGCCTGTTCTCTGCCAACAACTGGTTTTATTAAAGCCTGTTCTGGCTCAAAGACATCACCACACACTCTAAGATACCAACTACCACATACAGTTTATCTTCTCTAATTTAGTTTTGATTTTTAAGGTTCTTGTGACAAACATTGTTTTCCAAACCTAGATTGAGAAGTGGAGCTCTGTCTGGTTTAGTGGAAGGTGTTCTTGCCCACAGCAGGGGATTGGAAAGAGAAGAGCTTCAAGGTCTCTCCCAACACAAACCATTCTGATTCTGCAATTCTAATTAATGCTGGAACAGAACGTGGTTCTCAAAATAAGCAAGTTGTGGATATACTTTGTATGCCATTTTCACAAAAACTCACTGAAGACCAACTCAAAGCACCACCAGCCTTCCCAAAGGAGTATTTCTAATCAACTTATTACTTCTAATCACAACTGATCTTCATTCCCCCTGCCAGCCTTCCCTTCATTTCCATCACCTATAAAGGGTATGTACAACACTTCTGCTGGACTCTGCAATATATTCTTGTAAAGGACATTTAATGCAAGTTAGATGCAAGGAAACACCACAATATCTCTTTAAATTGGAGAGAGAGAGATAAGGTTTATTTGAGACAAGTGACCTTTAAAGTACTGCTTGCCACTCTACTCGATCTCCCAAAATAAATCAAAGCTTCTGCCTTTTGTATGTCATTTTTATTACCCAAACTGATTGTTCTTTCTCTCAGAGCTCACTAGGCAGTAAGACACAGAGAGGATGTTCCTGTACCAACATGACAGCAGGCACAGGAAGGACTTGCTGGATGTGGTAGGGAAGTTGCTGGAAGTGACATAAAATTGTCTTAACTATCAATGATTATATTTTTTTTTTGTGAAACTTAGAAACTCTTGTTACAATTGCATCCATACCTTGAAAAATCATGCATTGGGACACAAGTACAAAATAGCAATGTTTCCCTGTGTCCACCTTAGAGATGCTTTGGGATGCAGATGTATGCATCTGCAATATCTTCTGGTTAGGTGTGTGCCCCAGCAGCCACAGACAGGAAATCCCCAAACATCCATGAAATTCTGATAAACACTCCAATAGACTACTTCTTTGCCACTTTAAACCACAACAATTTCATTTTTCCCCAAGAAGGGATAATCTGGAATTGGAATATGAGTACATCTGACATGCTGGCACAGTCTGTCCCTGCATCTGTGCCAGCACATCCTTGTGACTGACCTTTCCCAACAAAGGGATATTTAGGACCAAACCCCCCACAGAAATGCCACACTGCAGCTCAGAGCTGCACAAGAAAGAAAGTTAAGAAAATAGAAGTTCTGGTCGGTACAGCCACCTACAGCTCTGCCCTCCCACTGAGTCAGGAAAACACAGTTGGTGATTACACCAAAAAATCTTGGCTCAACAAGGGAATTTTTAAAGAGATATTGCAAACTGCAGTGGGAAAAAAGGAGAGAAAAAACACTAAACCCTCTGGAAGCTCAACCTAATGGCAGCATCAGCCTGTCTTGCCACACAAACCCAGAAGCACTGGCAGACTGGACTAGGTTTTGTTAAAGGTGTGTGAAATTTGGGAATAGGGTACAGAGGGACACCTCACCCTGCTCACCAGGACACAAGCAAGGGCGGGTCACTCAGCAGAGAGGGGAGGGAGGGGGAGAAGACATGGGAGTGCAAAAGCCAGCTCTGAGTAACAATTAATAAAAACTGACATGAACAAAATATTAAACTTTCCCCCCAGCAACCCTGAAAACACCCCAAGGTGAAGACTCCAGAGGTCCACCAGGAGCTGGGCTTTTGCCATTGATTTCATGGGTGCAGCCACCCAGCACCAAAGCACTCCTGCTGCCAAAGCAGAGAACTGCAAACTTTCTAAAAGTAGTCTGGCAACAAGAGCAGAGCAACAACGTGATGGTTTCTCCAGGAGACTGCTGAGGGTTCCCACAGTTCCCCAGTAAGAACTGTATCGAGTCTAACAAAGATGAGTACAAGGTTGTGCACCTGCACCAAGTCTCATGTCTGTAATTTTGAAAATAATTGGGGCGTGAGCTCTGATACACAGCCCAGCTCCCAGGTCAGCAGAGAGAGGAGAGTGCGTCTGCTGTGACATTTAATTCCCACGTAAACTCCATTTACTCTCAGCAGTGAAGTCACACAGAATACTTGGGAATTAAATTAAAGGCTAATTTCACTATAACAGACTTTTAAGATTGCACATGCCCTGTACAACAGAGCAAATGACATGACCTTTGACGAGATGACCACCCGTCAACTCCTCTGAGAAGGACACTAAAAATGATGGTCAGCCTGAGGACAGCCTTCCTTTATGTGCTCCTCAGGAAGGGTTTGCTAAAAATAAAGGCTCTGGAAAGTCATTGCAGAGGTTAAATAGAGAGAAAGGCAACCACAGAAGTCATGAGCGAAGTTCTATCACAGGACAGCTAAACAGACTTTTTTCTTTTTTATTCTCC